CCCGCGTCGGTGCGAGCGAGACCGAGCGAGGGCGCGCTTTTCGGAATCAGTCTGCAGAACGAGGTGGACGAGGAGCGCCGTCCCCGGCCGTCCCTGCCGAGTGTCCTGCAGGACCATGGCGGGGCGACGCGGGGCGCGTTGTCCTGCACGGGATGCGGCCTGCGCGCCACCGGCAGGCTCATTCCGGTCCCGTCTCTCTGTCTCTCTCCCACCCATGCGGCGCGCCCCACCATTGCGAGAGAGACAGAGAGGCCTCCCGCTGCAGCAGCGCCTCGTAAATAATCGACTCCCCGCAATCACAGCAGGTGCGTGTGTCGCGCGGTGGGGGGCTGGAAGGGGAGGGGTAGCTAGCTGCGGCGCGCCGTGCTTTAGGGTGATGATGGCTTCATAACGCATCCGAACGGCTGCGCTGCGCTGCGCCGCGCCGAGGCAGTCTGTAGTGTTGTGGCGTGGCGGCGCCTCCGGGCTGCAGTGCTGCGCAGTGGCGGTGCTGGCGGTGCTGGCGGTGGCGGTGCTGGCGCACACCATGACGGCGGCCTCGATGGCGGCGGGGCGGGCGGACGGGGGATGATCTGCGGCGCTTTGCCGCCGTGCCGCTGACGGCCAGCACGTCCCACGTCGCGGCGCGCGGGGCGGCGAGACGCGTGGTCAGCCCCAGTCAGCTCTGCACACTGATTCCGAGAGTCGTCTCTCTCGCACTCCATGAGGCACAGGTGCGAGAGAGATAGGACGATAAAGGCGACTCTCGGAATCAGTCGGCTGTGCGATCGGATCATGATGAGACGGACGTCCGTCCCCCTCCCCCAAGCACTCCGTTGCCGTGATAAAGCCCACGCCCAGCCCTCTGCTCTAGAACTATCGCCGGTTCCGGCCTTCCCTTCGGTTCCCTTCGGCGTACATCAGCAGGGCCCGCATTCCGCCAGGTAGAAGGTCAGCACCAACTACGGCGCCGCACGCACACGCACACACGCACACATGCAGTGCACACAAGCGCGCGTGCACTCAATACCTACAGCGTAGGGGCTCGCTCGGCATTCCTGGCCGAAGCTGGCCGCCACATTCGCTCCCGGTTCGGTTCGACCCACTCCCGCCCGGCATACTTCAGGCCGGAAGAATCATTGAACAGTGTACAGTTTGTGGTCTCGGGGCTTGGAAATTGGCGCGGCTGAAAACCTTGGCCTTCGATCGCGCCTCGTGTTGATGGTCGTCGGGATGGTGGTGGTGGCGATGGTGGAACGGGTCGCCTGCCTCCACGATGTCGCTGCTGCTGTCATAGCTCTCCCTGCCCATGCTGCCAGGCCCGCCGAGCCGCGGGAACCCTTGCCGATGTTTTATTTATGAGACGCATAGATTGCCGCGATGCAAACAACGAGATTAAAGGTGTGGCGATTTGGAAAGGAGACCGTTGTTGTTCTGTTTCCTTTTAATCCCCTTATTCGCGGCCTGGTTTGTTGGGGCTAGATGCCATGATTCCGTTGCCTCGACCACTGGCCGGTGGTCACCAAGCCGCCGTCCCCCGCCGGCCGTCGGCGACATCGAGGGTGGAGTGGGCAGCGGCGGCAGCAAAGTGGAAGTGGGGGAGGGTTCCCGCCAGTTGCCGCCCCCGCGAGGGTGCAATCTGTTTTTGTGCTGTTTTAAACGCAGATTTGCCGGACGAAATTATTAGGTCTGCTGAGATTAAGGCCCGTAATGTTGGCGATAATGTTGCGACCCGACTCGGGCAGCGCGGCGGCATGGGGGTGCGCCCTCCACACGAGCAATTTGGACCCCCCCCCCCTTTTCCCTGGCCCCGCGGCCTCGCGGTGGGTTGGCTCGGACGGCCAAATTGTTTTTCGTTTCGGGATGAACTTGCCCGTCATGGCGACCCTTTGCCCGATAAAAATCAGCGCCGGGAAACAAAGCGGCGCGTAAGCAGGCGGGGCGGGGCGGCGCGGGGCGGGGCGACGCGGGCGCAGACTGCGGGGCCAATTAGAGGCGAGACAAGTGGCTTTGGCGCCCCGCCGTCCGAGTCGCTGGCGGTCGAGGCTGGTCGAGACGCGCCGCGTCCCGGGCAGGGCGGACAGGGCTTTGACTGACTGAGCGGTGCGGCGGGCCCAGCCGGACCGGACCGGACGGGACGGTAGGGCGGCAGGCGGCAGCCCGACCCAAACCTCGTTCGCTAAGCCCGCGCGGGCCGAGGCAGCGCTGGGCAGCGCTGGGCAGCGCCAAGCGGAAAACCCTTTGGCCGCGGCGCTGCCACTCGCCAGCAGGTACAGTGGCACAGAGTACGGTGTACAGTCCCGCCAAAGCAGGCGAAGCAGGCGAAGCAGGCGAAGCAGGCGAAGCAGGCCAAGCGCCGTGGCGGTAGGCAGTCTGGCGGCACGTTTGCGTTACGGGACTGCCTACCCACAAGGCGCTCGCCGTCGGCGAGACGCCTTTTCTACTGACAGGGCAACTGTTGAGATTTTCTGTCTCTGAGGGTCCATCCTCTACTCGTTCTGAATGAGGAAAATGGTTATGTCGGATAGCAGGTTGGAGGGATCATAGACGAGTAGATTTTTCTTTCCTCGCGCCGAGAAAATAAAGACTCTCTTCCTGCTGGCCGTTGGCGTTGGCTGGCCGTTGGCTGGCCCTTGGCTGGCCGTTGGCTGGCCGGCGGGGGAGTGGCCACTCCTTTCTCGCCTCGGCAGCTAGTCTGGAGAAGTCCCGCTCCAGAGCCGCGCCAGATCCTGGAGTCCACTCTCCTCCAGGGGGAGATATTTCCACCGCGGCCAATGTCCAATTTAGCCGCAAAGCCGATTGTGCCGAGAATTGGACCATATCCTCTCCAGTCCTGACTCCATCTGTCTGCAGGGCGCCACGACCGGGCGCCAACGACGGCCTGCCTGTCAACCGGCGGCACTGTCGGCACTGCCTGCAGGCGGCGCGAAGAGGTGCCTCGCTGCGAAGCTTCGTCCGGCTGGGTCGAGTACCCTGCTCAAATTGTTCCGGAACCCTTTGACGTCACGCAGCTGCGCCGCTTATAGGATCTGTGCGCGCGTGTGTGTGTTTGAGCGTGTGAGTGAGAGAGAGAGAGAGTGAGAGAGAGAGAGAGAGAGAGAGAGAGAGAGAGAGAGAGAGAGAGAGAGAGAGAGAGAGAGAGAGAGAGCGTGTGCGCTGTCGCGCGCTGCACGGGTCGGGCGTGTGTCTATGTGTATAGTTCACTCGACCGAACGGCGCTCGCGCCTTTGTTGCACGCTATCAGTTCACCAAGCGCGCCCCGCCCCTCCGCGCCCCTGCCCGTGCTCAGCTCACACCCGCGCCGTGCCGTGCCCTGCCGTGCCGTTCCGTTGCGCGAGTCCAGCCCAGCGGGGTGGCATGCGCGGCATAGCAGGCGCCGGCCCAGTCGGCCTAGACCGGCTGCATGGCATTATTAGGCCGTTTTATTGTGGGCCTGTCAGCGGCACCGACACAGCGGCACCGACACCACTGCACTGCAACGAGACCCGGGCTGCGCCACTGCTAGCCACTGCCCCCGGGCCCGGCCACTGGGAAATCCTCATCCCGGCGCGAAAACGATAAGTTTCACAAAATTGGGAAGAGAAGTCATAGAAACCTTGCCGTGCAGTCGAGGCTGCATTTTCGACAAACTTCGTTTCGTGGCCCGAGCACGGGCTTCGTGGAAACGATCAGGCTGGGAACAGTCATATTTCCTGGTCGTTTCTTTACCAGCGTTTGGCGTATACACAGCATTGTCGTGCTCATTTTTTGCACTTCAGAATTTAGTGGGCTCCCTCCGGCTAGAGCCCTACCTCTGGCAGGTGGCTCTGTGGAAGGAACAGTCGGGAGAAATGTCTAGTGGTTGTTTTCAAACACAGCCTGATTGTCCCGCAGCAATGCACGCGGCCTTCCCCGCCAGCGTGTCAGCGTGCCAGCCCCGCGGTCCGGCGGGCCCGGCCCTCCCCTCACGTGTTCCGCCTGGCCAGGCTGGCCATGAAAATATACCGCGTTTGCAGCGACCTCCGCTATATTTTCCTCGTGTTTTGTTGGAGTCCGGCGGGATTGTGAGGGGCGGGGCGGCCGGCCGTTTGGCCGCAAGAGGAACGGCGCCTGCTGAAAGGAGGGAGGGGAGGGAAGGGGAGAGGAGGGGAGGGGAGGGACGCCATTGGTCGTCGTGGTGGTCGTTGTGGTGTGGAGTCACCAGTAGCCTGCAGCAGCGTGATGAACTATCGATTGCCTGTTCGATCATTGAGTAACTATTCCTTTTTAGCTGCAGACAGACCACTATTAAGGTACAACTGCATTTCGACGCCTGCTGGGTCGCCTTTTCCACTGTGCACGTTGCCTGACCGTCGGGTTCGTCGGGCTGCGACGCTGTGACGCTGCTCATTCCGTTCGGCCGAGTTTCCACTCTGAAGATAATTGCCCCGAAATGCCTCTCTTTTCGGTTCGAGGGTGTCGGAGACAGTTTGCCACTCCGATTTGAATTCGGTGAAAGGCGAGCGACAAAAGACACTCGATTTTAACGTCCCAAGAAATTTCTCATTGAAAACGCAAATATTCTCATACGCATCATGGGCAAAACAGACGACGAGCAACTTTGTTTACTTCCACGTTGGAAGTGTGGCCGTTCAAGGTGCACTTTGCGATGGGCTGGGCGGCGTTTTAAAGTGGTTTTAGGCTGGAAATGCCATAAAATGGCCTTCCAAAATTATATATTGGAGACATAATCGTGTGCGGTTTGTTTACCGAAGTCCACGTGAAGCCGTTTGCATCTCGTTCCTTTCTGTGGTAGAAACTTTCACGTCATCGTGACTGATTGACCATATTGTGCGCCGCAAACGACCCGCAAAGCTGCGTAAATTTAAATCCCCGTGTTCGAGCAACCTGCCCGTGTTGTGTTGCGGCCTGTGTTGATCACTGAGGGACGCACCCCGCCCATTTGTCGTGTCTTGCGCCGAGTCGTCTGACTGCTGCGTTCTTTACTTTTTTCGGCTGATTAATTGGATATAGGTACACCTGTACCTATTAACCTATACAGAATGTCCATTACATCAGAAATGAATTTGATGGATCTCCTCTTTGATAAGGAAGATCCTTCCCTGCCTATTACTTTTGATAAGGATGATCTGTACCCAAAAAATGAATTAATTGACATTGACACCAAACCATCATTCGGCATCTCTGTAAGTTGATTTCTGACCTATATTTTTTTACAAGTTATTTAAAGATAACCCTCATGTACTCATTTTTAATCTTTTTCTGATAATGGTTTTTTTCTTTGTAAAATTCTTTGGCCTGCCATACTCTCTGCAATAAGTAAAAAACTACTGGTTATCATTCCATATGATGTAATAAATGTGAATATGTTGTGGGTGATTGAAGCAATTGAAGTCACATGCAATCTTGAATTCTTATTTTCTTTTGAAGTTATGAATGATGAAATCTTTCTTTATGAATGTTTATAAAAGTTTCAAATGCTTGGTTGCTCTAATCATTGTGCAATATCTGGCAATATCTTCCCAAATTACTGAAAATGTCAGTTTTGTAACTGAGCCATGTGGCAATGTCATTCATTGCATATGGTGACATCAAACCCAGTCCATTAATTAAGTTCATCTTATTGTGATTATTATTTATAATTTTCATTACTATAGGCTTTATTGAGTGACTTTATAAAGTAAAAGTTTTCTTCTTGAACTTGAATCATGGACATGTGCAACCTATTATTTGTAAGGATTCCTTGTGGCAGGTTTTATCTCTATATTTTAAGAAGTCTTTGATTCTAAAATATTCAGTGCATTCAAATTCAACTCAATAAAATGTGATTACATGTGGAGTTGGGTGTTTTAATGATGACTTCTTTTTTCATTTTTCTGTTAACTACAGTCTGAAGTCTGGCCCAGCAACCCAGATGAGTTCCTGGACTCTCTTCTCAATGGAAACCCATTCGATGACTCTCTACTTGCTGAAACAGAAATCATGGACCCACTTTCCGCTGATATCTGTCTGTCAAGCAATGCGTCCTTGTCACCTACCGCTGCTGTTGTGAGCAGCAGCAGCTCTGACAGTGGAGTCAACAGTGATGTATACAGTGATGTCTATAGTGATGTTGGTGGAGAACAATCAACACATGATATTGCTGAAGACAGCGGTGCCTCTGTTGATTTGCAAATGTCTCCTCTGAAACAGGAAGTAGAAGAGGTAAGTTTTGGAACTTAAAGAAAGAAATATTTAGTATAGCATGTTAAATCATTTACTAACCATTGGTCTCCCTATGTTTAGGACCTGGATTTGGATGTTTCTTCAGTTCCTGCTTCGCCAGAGGTTTTATCATCTCCAGAAGAGGTTACCCATTTCAATGTTCTGGATTCAGCGGCAATCAATGCTGGTATCTTTGATTCAAAATCTTTTGGCCCACTCCAACTTAAAAACAACACTGCTATAATTAACATGAGTAAGTTGTGTAATACTTAATATATGACTGTAACTAATGTTACATTTGTGGGCTGTATTCATGTTCAATGTAATTATGTTTCAGACTTGGCGTCCTCTGATACAGAACTGCCTGTTGCACCACGTCAATCAAATGTGTCAACACAGCAGTTAACTCTTCGTCCTGTCAAGACCTGGAAACGCAATGGAACAGGCGCCAGCTCTGCCACAGTCCGACAAATGATCCGTGTGACTCCAATGCCTGCTCTTGGTTCTTCTAACTCTTCACACCCTCGTTCAATCCTATTACCACTTCAGGATCTCAAAGATGTTCGCACTATCAAAATTGTAAATGCAAAAAATGCTGCAAACAATAGAGCAAGTATGTATATCCCTCTCTGCTTAAGTTAAATTTAAAGTTTAAAAAGAAAAACTTAATCAATGGAATTTGTTACTTTGTTAAGGATGCCGTCCCATGGTACCAGCTATAGGGAAGGGAACTCCAGTCACCCTTCTTCAAGTGAAACCTGGCACTGTTTTGAACACCATGAATGCTAGTCCAGCCCAGAGCTGTAACATTAGCAGCAGCATGAGTGACATACTCAACATGTCTGGAGATGACTCTAGTGATGATTCCTCTGACAATACCATGGAGACGCACAACAGCCAACAACCATATCCGAGACTTGTTCTTTCCTGTAAGTAAAATCTTCAGTAGTGCAGGAAAATATACTACTACTTCAGTACTATTACTTTATTTTTGGAATGTCATATACCAGCGGAAGAGAAGCGTTTGATGGAGAAAGAGGGAGTAACACTTCCTACTCATTACCCTCTTACTAAGCAAGAGGAACGAGAGCTCAAACGAATTCGTCGAAAGATAAGAAACAAAATATCAGCTCAAGACTCTCGAAAAAGGAAGAAAGAATATGTTGATGGATTGGAGGATAGGTATGACTCGTAGTTAGTTTAGGAGAGTTTAGCAGTTGCGAATTGATTAGTAAAACCTTTTTACGGTTCACACGTTTGGTTTGTTGCACTTACTGATGCAATGTCTATTTTTCAGGGTGAAACAATGTACTGATGAAAATCGAGAATTGCTGAAACGTTTGAAGGTGCTGCAATCGCAAAACGAATCACTTGCCACTCAGCTGCAACGTCTCAGAGCAGTTGTTGCGCGCGGCGTGTCAGGAAGTGGATCTCGCGGAGCTCAGCCTGCCACATGTCTGATGGTTCTTCTCCTGTCACTTGCTCTTGTTATGGTTCCCAACCTTCGGCCAGGAAATAACACCTTGGAGGACCAGGAGCTTACATCAGCTAATAATGCTATTAGCTCAGATAATAAGCTTCCTGCCTTGCCAGGTTTGTACATTTCTTATTAATTTGTATTTGGACTACTTTTTTTTTGTTTTTTGCTTCTTCTTAGTGCTAACTCATTTTTCTAAATATCTGACACAGTTAAAGCTTGTTTTTTTATCCACAGGCCGATCAAGAACTTTGTTACACTCCTCAGTTGGAGCATTATTTGCAGCAGACTCCACAGATGACTTGGAATTATTGGATGAGGAAGAATTCAAGATCACCATTCCTCAGTTGGGGAAAAGACGTGCCAGTGATCTTGAGGCAGAGGGCAATGCTCTCTTTGATCATGATTTTGGTCCTGTTGAGACCAAGCAAGCAAGATATTCAATTGATCCAGGTAAGGAAGCAATGACGAAATGTTTCCAAGGCATTCAACTTTTTGCACAGTACTTACACTCGTTTTCAAATTTCAGGGGACAAAATTGTTCATCAGTTCATCGATCCTGCTATAGATGATGTGTGGCCTCCTCCAAAAAAGCAGAAGAAGGATTTCTTACCGATTGATGACAGGATTGAAACTATGGTGGAACAACTTTTAAACAACAAAACAGAAGAGCCTTCTTCTACACTAGTTCTACCAGTCTCTCAAGAAGGGCGCTGATACTCATGGATGTTTTCTTTGGTCTTTTTTTTCTGCATGAAATTGGTATTTGTACCCAAGGTCATTGTTGTGGAGAGCAATTTTAAATTCATTCTGAAAATGTATGAAGCATCATTATAGTACATTCTGAGGCTTTGCTCTTCACACTTGTTTTCTTCAATTTTAATGGGCTGCACTGAAGATAAATTGTACAAAAGAATTTTGTGGTTTTATTAGATTTATTTATTTGGCTTTTTATAAACTATTATTATTTGAAGGGCAGTTCTAAAATTCCGTGTCTGTGATTTCTCTGCTTTATTTTTATTTTTCTCTTTTTTTATGATTGTGTTTCATGTTTTTGTGTGATTTATGTTTTGGCAGATGATGGTAGTCAATTAAGTTTGATTGAACTTGGCCAATGGTCCCCTCTTTTCATATCAGTGAGACATTTTGAAACAATGCCCCTCCCTTTACCGTAGTGTCTTTTTTTCTCTCTTTCTCTTTTTTTTTTCTATTTTGTTTAAACTGCAGTTTGCTGTGGATTTTTTGCTTTCTGTGTCACAGGTGCAGGGACTTTGTGTAACTTTATAGCACTGCCTCTTATGTAATCATGATAGCTTTTATTGTATTAGTATTTTTTTTTATTTTTTTTTTGTAAGTAGAGGAAACCACGTGTTACAGTCTTCAGAATGATGACTATGTTATTTTTATTATAGATTACCAAGCTAAATCTGCTTGATTGTTTAATCCTGTATCCTAGAAAGGTTATGAGGTATGTGTGCATGTGAATAGCTAAGCTTTTAATGAATTAATGCAGGGAGATTTTTGTAGAAATTTTCTTTTTAGCTGAGTTTATTTTGTGTAAGTGATCTAAATTATGTATGTTGCCAATGTTTCTTTTTTTGGCAGAAAATTGTGGTCTGAAAAATAGGTTGACTAGAATATTGTGTCTTGGATGTAAAACTGACTGTTTGTACAGTATTTGATTGAGAATTTGTACGTTTATCTTATGGACTTGAAGAACAGCTTATGCTTTTGGCATTGTTATGAAATAGTTTGTCATATTAGATTTCCACATGTATGCTTTTATTGTTGAAGCATGTCTTTGTATTATTTACAAAGTCAAGAGAAATTGCAAGCAGGTCACTTGCAAGTGCAGTGAGCCGCCAACTTCTGTTATTAAAGCTCTATTATGTTAGAGATTTTCTTTTCTTTTTAAATAAAGGAACAATATAATTCCATGAATCCTGTCTTTGCTGTGACTACCTTTCATAAGTCCGCTCACAGTCCTATCCACATTATGGATTGGCTCAACCACCTCAAGATCAAGAACCATACACAGCACGGATATATGTTTAGATTTTATGTCCCAAACTTAATTAAATGTCCTTTCTTGACTCTTCTCAGTCATTTCAGTCGCTTCGTAGACTGGCGGGAGCTTGCAGGCTCGACTGAGCTGCACCTACCGGGAAAATCGGCAATCAGGCAACGGCCCTTGACTGGCTTTGGCGCGCGCCGCAGCCGGGCCGAGGCCGAGCAGGTCGAGCCGTCGGACGTCGGACCGTTGAGCCAAGCCGCTGGCCGGGAAGATGGCGGCAGGTGGTGGCGGTGGCGGCTGGAGCAGTAGGCGCGGTTGCGCCGCGGTGCTGGCCAGGCACTTCCCCCTCCGCCACCAAGCCGCCAGGCGTTGCTGCAGCTGCGAATGCGCCCGGCCGGCCGGCGCGGCGCACTCGGTGTGGTCGTGGATGGGGAGGGGGATGACGGTGGCGAGGACGGGGACGGGAACGTGTGTGAGTTCGCGCTCCGAGCTCGACGCGAGAAGACGTCGTCGTCGTCGTTCGTCCCGGTCTTCCTCGTCTTGTCGATGCCGCCACGCGCCGCCACCGCCGTTGGTTCAGGCCGTGCGCCGCCCAAGCCGGACCGCGGCATGTGACCAGGTGGACCAGGTTGCAGTGATCTGCGCGACGTGACAGTGTAACAGTGGCTTGTGCTCCAGGTGTGTGTGGTGCTGTGCTCCTCAAGTGTGTGTGTGCGTGTGTGTCGTCGCGCTTGCGCCCCAGCGAGTGCTTGATCGGGGTGTCCTCGACGCCCTGCTCCCACGAGTCGGATTTACCCTCACCGCTCGCCCCATCGTCACCGTCATCGTCCTCTAGGCCGTGGCAGTTCACCCTCCAGTCGCCCCTGCGCTGGCAGTGCTGGCCTCCCGGGCGATGAAGTACCCCCTGCTCGGCGGGCCACCTGTCCTTTGGTAAGTCCGCGCTCCGCTCACCTCGCCGGAGCGAGGGGAAGGGGCGGGGCGGGGGAGGGGCGGTCCTGGAATGTGGGCTTGCGCGCGTATGCGCGGACCGGGTAGGGGTAGGGGTACGCCCCTCCGCATCGCATCGGCGCACCGCGCCATCGCCATGGCCATCGCGCCATCCAAACGGCGGCCGCCTCGTCGCCGCCGCGCCTCCTCGCGCTTTACCCAACCAAAGGTTGGGCTGTACCCTCGATGGTCGCTGATGACGACCGAGACGCTCTCAAATCAAACTTCAAAGCCACTGTTTGATGTTTTGGTATGTTGAAGCGCGACGCTGCCAAATAGCAGACCTCAGTCTGTGCAATTGGAATTGCATTAGGCTAGCGTGCGAGAGAGAGAGATCTTGCGGGGTGCATCGTGCATCCCTTGAGGGGAAGGAGACGCAAGATTCAGGTGTGAATGGGGTGGGGTGGGGGGTGTCCCCTGGCCCTACAGCATCCCCCCCCCCTCCCCCACCTTGGCCGTGGCGGTGGCACGGTGCCGTCCGGTGGCGGCGAGGCGCGTCGGGGCTTCACACATGTCAAGCCGGCGTGCCTGGAACTCAATTATCCTCCGGGCAGAGCGAGAAAGAGAGAGAGAGAGGGGGGGGGGGGCTTATTAGAGATACGCGATCCTTATCACCCTGACTAATTTGAAATATTTGTTCGCCGGTGCGCGGCCCTTTGGCCTCGCAGTGCCGGACAAGTGAAGTGACTCAGCTGCTTGGCTGATACTTCGATGAATTTACAAAACCAATCCAAAATGTTTGGACATTTTCCCTCTTACGTGGCGGGCCGGCCCTTGTGTGTCGGGGGACGGGCACTCACTCGCAGGGAACACAGGGCTGGGGAGCCGGTCGCCGATCCGTCCACCGGTCCCGGCTCCACCCGGTTCTACAGGTGAGCCGCGCCTGGCCCATGCCTGGCCGTGCCTTCGAGAGGCCGTGGAGCCGGCCAGCCTGGAGTCCTGGCGTAGCCTGGCGTGGTGCGTGGATCGCGGCATCGCGGTGCCGTGGACTCTCGAAGGACGGCGCGGGGCGGCGGGGGACGTCCGTCCGTCGCGGTGGCGTCGTCGGTTGCCGGGGTCACCGCCGCGTCTCGCCGCCGCTCCGGTCGGGGAGTCGGGGGGCAGGGTTCAGGGTTGGCGACGGCGACGTCGCACGGCCGTGCGTTGTGTGTTTAGTCACGTGAACCGAAAAGGGAGGCGGAAGCGGGCGAGCGTGCAACCTTGTCGATCACGCGGACGCGGCGACGCGGCACACACCGCGTCTTTGCCGAGGAGACCTGCCGAGCCATTTTATGGGTGCAGCAGGATGGAGGGGGAGGGGGGCCTGAGGGGGGCTTATTGGGCCCGACGTGTAATGCTGAATCGCTCGAATCGCCTCGCCGCGTTGCGCGGCGTTGCCGCGCTCGGTTGAAAGGGGAGGAAGACGGATCAGGTGGCATAATGGGCGAGGCGAGGCGAGCGAGTCGACCTGCCGGTGCCGCCCTGCCCTATTTTCCCACGTTTTCCAAGCTGCTCGCCCCTCGCCCAAGAAAGCATCCCAAAAAACAGGAACGTAAAAGAAGATTTTCTGAAAGCCGGGCGCGTTGATGTCAGCCCCTGCACTGACAGACCCGGTCATCGCCCCCGGAGCGGGGCGCGCCCATTGGCTGACGCCGGCCGGCGCTGCGCTGTCTGCGCTCGCTCTGTTCACTGATTGGCTGTGAGGCTGTCGTTTGTCCGAACAGGAGTCAAGCCGATACGATCCGTCCATCCGTCCTCCGGCGTGTACAGTGTAGTAGTACAGCTTGTGGGCCCTGAGTGATTGACAGCAGGGCAGCGGGGCCCCGCGCGGCGCTCGCCTTAGCATTAGCTAAGCGCACCGGGGCTGCGGGGCTGGGCTGACAGCTCGGACTGCCCGGCATGAGGGATTAAAGCGGGGGTCGTGAAAGTCGCGCCACCTCGCACGCCGCCTCGCACGCCGCCCCTCGCCAGCCACTGCGCGCGAAGAGAAGTTTCCCTCCGCTGCGGTAAATTTCCCGCCGCGTTCAGCAGGCATCGCCAGTGGCGTTGCCAGTGGTGGTGACCGCGTTCCGAAAGCCTAATAACTCTATAAGCCGGCGGGCCGGGCTAACGAACGCGCCGCTCCGCCTCGCCGCGCCGCTCCATTGCTCCTCGATGGGGTATTTAGAAAGGGCCGCCTTACGCCGCGGGCCACGACTGTATTTCTGTACGCAGAAGCCGGCCTTGAGTCTCGGGCGAGCGCGGCGAGCGCGGCGAGGCGCCATGCCATCGGGCCGGGGAAGTGCCGCGAGCTGATCCACTGCATCTACGTTGTATCGAGTCTGGGTTGCGGTGTGTGCACTGTGTAATCTCCCAGCGCTGCTCCGGTCGTTGAGACCGGGCCGCCTCTCCACCGGCGCTTCCGGCTCCGGCACCCCACTCCGCTGCGGGGCCACGGGGCTACGGGGCCCATTGTATGCTTATCACCCCTTTGACCGTCTTTGACCCACCCGGGCTAACCCGGGGCTGCCACTGCCGCCGCCTGGGCAGGGAGGTTGCTGAACTGCTGAGGTGAGGTGGAAAAGAGTTCTGAGTTCGAATCCCGGCCCGGTGCGCGGTGCACGTTTTTGTCGACCTGTTGTCCTTTGGCTAGAGGGCAGCAGAACGCGTGGAACTGTTGCTGTCCATGGGCTCCGCTCCGCTGTGGGCGTGGCCGGGCGTGGCCGGGCGTGGCCGGGCGTGGCCCCGTGTTCGAATCCTGGCGTTTCGCTGCCGCGCCGTCCATTGACACCGACTGCTCGATTGTCTACCGCGGCATTCCGTGAATGGCCCGGGGTGCTATTGCGCGCGCAGTGCTGCGCAGCAATGCGCAGCAGGCTGATTCCGAGCGAGCGGGAGGTCTCGGAGGTCTCTCTCTCTCTCTTGCACTCGTGGCCGTGGTCGCGAGGGAGACAGATCGCTACGGGACCTCTGCTCGGAATCAGCCCGCAGTGCCACGCCCGCGTTGCCCGCGTTGCCCGCGTTGCCCGCGTCGGCCGCCAGCCTGTGATTCCGATAGCTCACCTCCCCGTAGTTTCTCCTTCTTGGCGGCGGAATTTCTGGAAGTGGCTGCTGCTGTACTTGCAGTGCCGGCGCAGCGCCAAACGCGCGGCGCGCGCTCTCCCGCGAGGGAGGGCTGCTGTGCCCTTTCCCCGCCGCGTGGCGTGGCGCGGCGTGGCGCGGCGTGGCGCCCGGAGCTGCACTCACTCGCTGCACAGCGGCGCTCTGCTTTCCAAACCGCAGCTCCGCCGGCAGCCATCGGTATGGAGACACATCGGTGGCGGGCTAGTGCACTGCCCGGCCCGGCACCGAGCCCGGCACGCACCCAGAGAGAGGCGCCTCCCTCTTTCTCTCTTTCTCGGAACCGCGGCCAATTACCTGGAACGGCGTCGCGGCATGCATGCGGTCCGGCCAGTGGTCGCGGCGCGTAGGGCGCGTAGGGCGCGTAGGGCACGGTCAGCCAGTCGCGGCCTCGGGGGCGCCGGGGGTGGGTCTCGGATAGTCGGTCTCTGACGGGTGCCGGCACAGCCGGCGGCATACCGGCGGCACCGCCACTTCCGGAGCCCTGCCTGCCGGCCACCGCACGCCACTGTAGGTGCAAAGCGCAAGGCGCACCCCGCGGCGGTTGCATCACGCCGCCCGCCGCGCCGCGTCACGAAATCGGCGCGCCCAACGTGGTCATTTCAGCCGCATTCAAAATGTCGGAAATTGAATTTCAAAGCAAAGTGACTGGTAGGCGCGCCGCTGGCGCACGCCGCCTCACGCAGGCGGGGCGAGGCGGGGCCGGCCGGCCGTTCACGAGCGGTAACAGCGCGGAATTCATGTTTTCCTGATCGGCTTTGGCGAACGGCGCGTGGCCACCGTAGACTCTGTCTATGCTGCCCACACCGCGAGCTGTCAGGGAGTTAAAAATTGCAGCCGATTTACGACTTCGGGATGGTGACCCCGTTCTGGGCCCGGTCAGCCTTCGGGCGGCCTTGGCGGCCACGCGACACGAAGGGGCGGGGCGGCCGGGGCGGCCACTACAGTGTAAGGCGGCCCGCGTCCTCGCGACGTGGGTGGAATCGCCCGCGGCCTACTATCCCTGTACTGTCCTCCGTCGTGCCACGCCACGCCGCGCGTTCCCGGAGCCCTGGAAATGGAAGCTCCAGGAGTGCCCCGCAGACGCGTATTAGCGGCCCTGGGAACGCACCGAACGGCCGATTATGTCATTAGGTTCGGAGCGTGGAAAAAGGCAAAGCCTGCAGGCTCCAGCATGCTGCAGGAGCAGTAACAGGGAACGCTACACTGCTCGCTGAGCTGCTGTTCGAACCGTTCGGTGTGCATTCCATGGTTCCATGCTGCGTAGGAAGGGAATGGTGTGGCAATATTGACGCTGTTCGACCGAACCGTCTGCCAAACAGTGCTGCAGCGCCAGCCTCGGCTGCCTCGGCTTCAGGTTCGGTTGCGTTGCCTCGCTCGGCGCGCGCGGCCTTTGTCAGCGCGTGTGTTCTTATTGGCTGATCCCATTATGCTGCAAGGCTCATTCCGAACTGTGCCTTCGTCGCTCTGTCTCTCTCTCTCGCCCCAAGGCAACGCTCCTGGAGAGCGAGAGAGACGGGGCGACGACGGTGCTGGGGCTGAGCGGGCGACAATGCCGGCCGGGCGGTCCTACGTGGCCCAACAACGGTGGCCCCGTTCCGGCTCCAGGGCGTAGGGCCCCGTAGGGCCCCGTAGGGCCCCGTAGGGCCCCGCGGTGCCGGTTACACTGTGTCGTGGCCACAGAGTACAAGATGCGACCGAGGTCGACTTTATGTACTACTCTACTCTGGAGCCCGGCTGGACAATCTCTAAGCCAAAATAAAGATATTGCTGGCGGTCTGGCGTCGAGGCCGTGACGTGATAGCGGCCGGTAGCAGTGTAGCACCAGCACCGCGGATTACATCGCACCAGGTCACCTTGCCTGCCTTGCCTGCAGGGCGGGCGGGCACGGCGGCGGGCACGGCGGGCACCGGAGAGGTTTGGGAAAGGAGGGGGGATGCCGTGCGGATTGGGGCGGGGTGAGAACACGGCCGCTTTTTGGAATGTGGGGATGGGTAGGGGCGTGGGACACACGCACACACTCACACAGCGCCGCGTACACACATGCTCGCTCACGCACACAACCTCTCCAACTCACACACACGCAAACGAAATCACACAATAATCGCCCGCGCACGGGCGGGCGGGGCGGGCGCACAGAATCAACGGTAGAAGTCGTGTCTTTCTCTGCTGCACCTCGGGGCCTCGGGCGTTGAGGTCTCCTCGACGAGGTCCCGGAGGCCTCAACGAGGTCCTGGAGGTCGTCCTGGAGGCCGTGGTCCGCGGGGTCCGCGCTGAATGGAGGCCCGGAGGTCGGTCATTGATAAGGCGGGCGTGGTGACGTGTCAGCCTCGCCCTGCCATCCCCGCCATTGAGCCTCGGCCAGGGCGTCCGGCACGCCGTCCGGGGCGTGTGGACAGCCAGGGCAACGTGGCCGGGGCCGGCCAGAGCGTCCACCGTTAGGCCCCTCGTGTTGTCATCGGCGGGGCGGGGTGGGGTGAGGCTCGGGTCCAGCGACTCCGCTGCTGGGAGGAAGGAACGCACGCCGCCCGGTCGCTGCGCCGCCGATGCCGGCTGCCGCTGCCGCCGCTCGCCCTCCGCCCCTCGCCGTCCTGGGCACCGCCGCATCGCCGCACCGCCACCGCCGCCTCAAGAAACCGGTTGCCCATGAAAATGAGCGCGGCGTGGCGCGGCGCAGCGCTTGGCCGCGCTTGGCTGTGGTTCGGCTGGTGCGCGGTTTGGACTCACGGCCAGAGGCAGTCAAAGGCAGTCAAAGGCAAGGCTCGACGGCAGGACGGCCGGGGGCTTCAGGTTCAGGCTCCACTCCGGGTCCGGCGCTGCCGAGGGCTGCAGCAGCCGGAGGCCCGCGGCCTGCTCGCGGCCTGCCGCAGAAGGAGAAGGAGACCAGCATTTGGCCGCCTTCCGACTGGGCCTGCAGCCTGCCGCCTGCCAGCTCGGACGGCATGGGTCGTCCGCATTCCAGCGGCACACACTCACTCTCACACTCTCGCGGGACGCTCACTATGGTTTTGCCAACTCACCGCCTGCTAACAGCTCAAACATACTTCCCACGTCGCCCCACCAATTCACACATTAATTTGTCTGACGGCCGCGACACGCCCCCGCGGCCCCCCGCGATTCCCACCTCCTTAAGGCCCGCCTTGGCTTCCGATAATGAACCTCCCCGCCGCCGATGACCTTGGCCGCGGGGGGGGGCGGTGTTCGCGAACACGGACGCGCATCGCGCCGCGGCCTGAATTGTTGGCATGTCGACGATGTTGACGCGGTGGCGTAGCCAATCTGTTCTTGTCAGAGACGCGGAGATCGCCAAGATGCAGCCCGCCTTGTCGATGTTGTCGACTAGGTTCCCACGGGCACGGCGGCGGCTCGGCGGGGCGGCCGGCCTGCTGTCGGGCTTTACAAGAGTTCGCCATAAAAATTCCTTGAGCATTGTCGTGGCCGGCCGAGTGGATTCTCATACTGTATTAATGCGAGCTGCACCGGTACCATGATGCACCGCGCGTGTGTTAGCGCGAGTGTGTCTGTGTGTGTGTGTGAACGCGACGTGTGTGCGTTGGCAGTGCCAGTGCCCGGGCCGAGAAACACGAAAGCATGAAGCGTAATGGGCCGAGAAAAAGAGAGCAAAACTAAGGATCGGCGTGGGCGGGGGCTGCGGTACGGGGGCCGGGGGCGTTTGTCGAGCTGAGCTCCCCCCCCCCCTTCCCCCACTCCGCCTACCCCAGCAGGCAGGCCGGCATGACCCCAGACCCCCGGCGACCCCAGGCCGTTCCAGAGACCCGCCCATGGAGTATGTCAAGTGGTCCCAGGACGTCCCAGGCCCCCTTGATGATCTCTTCCAGAACTGCTTACGAGGAACTATGTGCGACTGCAGCTGTGTGAGTGGGTGTCTGTGACTCTGTCTGTGTGTGTTAGTGTCCGCGCATGTTCATGTGGGTGAGTGTGTCCGTGTGTGTGTGTGTGCAACAGGCCCTACGCGAGGGCGGCCGTTCGAGCTAAGTGGTCGCCGTATCCATGGTTGCTGCCTTGCTGCAGCGTTCCTTTCGACGCCTCTCTTAGTGAGCCCCACGCAGTCACGCAGGGCCGGTCTGTAAGCCTCGAGCCCTTCTCTCTCTCTCTGGGACGCTGCCTGCCGTTCGAAAAGCCAGACCGGCCATTTCCCAGGGGGCGTTGGCGTTGCTGGTGGCGACCATGGTGGCGAGCAGGCCCCGGCCGACGTGTGACAAAACAAGGGGTAACGCAACCTTTCCGTGCAGGAATGCAGGGCGGGGGAATTATGGGCAGCCCGTCCCGTCGGGCGGCCGAGAGGCTGCGAGGCACTGGCACTGGGAGGTGGCTGTGGAGGGCCTGCATCGCCTGCTCGGGCGACAAGTGTTTTCCGCAGCACCCCGCCGCCTCCCCGCCGTCGTGCCCTTTCTCGTGTGCCTTTCGTGCCGCGGGGCGTCGCGTCGAGAGGAGTGTAAAGGCGCGCACATCCGGGGCGTCCGGGACCGCGCCGCGCGCCGCCGGGGCGGAGCTGGCGTGGTGTCAGCGACATTCCAAGCGGGCCGCGGCTACCTTTGACCACTCATCGGGCTCGTTCCAATTCGAGGAGCCCGCTGCCCCGGAGCCGCGGAGCTGGTCGGGAGGCGCCGTGACTCACAGATGACACGAGGTAAGGCAGGCAGCGCAGTCAGCGCAGCGAGGTACCGAGTGCCGCCGCCGAGCCGCGCCCCGCCCCGCTGCAGCGGTGGGTTGTGGGTTGGGTTGCGTGGCCGCGTCTACATATTTCGTTATAGCGTCGCGGAGCGTGGCAGCGTGGCGCCGTCGAGCAAATAAGCCTCTTTGATTAGGGCCCTAGCGAGGACGCCGCGCCGTGCCGAGCCCCGCCGTGCCGGGCCCCCGCCGCAGCGCCTCGAAGCGCCGCCTCGGCGAGGCAAAGTTCACGACCGCCGCGACGAGTTTTGTGGGCCAAACAGGCAGTCGTCGAAAGTTCCCGTCGAGGTGGATTTCGACACGACGGCTTTATAGTTGCGCCGTGTTGTTGCATTCGAGGAGGGCCTCCTTGCGCACCGCCGGGGTCAGGCAGGTGCGGAAAACGCTCGCGGTCGGTGCTGGGAATCGAACCCGGGGCACCCAGCCCTCTTTGGCTCCTTGTGCTGGCGCATCGGTGTGCTGGGGGCTGGAGCGAGGAGAGCGAGGTGGCTGCTGGCTGCAGCCCATTGTCTGGCGCAGTGTATGTGCGGATGAAGCGTCGAATAATACTCGAGGGAGGCGCCTGGCGGGGCGGGGCGGGGCGAGGCTGAAATGAAAGAATGCGTGGAGGGGGGGGGGATGAACCACACCTGTCCACAGCGTGCACCTCTGTATGCCGCGCTGCAGCGCTGCTTTAGTTGGCTGGCCAGACCCAGACTCGGAATGCACGATGCCGACACTCGGAAAAAAGGACGAAGGTGGTTCGCATTCCGGTCCCGGTCGTCCCGGTCGCGGTGCGTGAGTGTGAGTGAGTGCTGCAAGTGCTGGCCGTGTCCGTGTCCCCACTGAGCGCTTCCGCGGCGTTCGGCGGTTCTCCCTTCGCGTGAGCGGGCGGGAAGGCGGGCGAGCGCGGGCGCGTCCTCCAACCGTCGTCTCCCCTTCCCCCTTCCACCGCCACCCTCTCCTCGGTCTGGGCCGCGTGCAGGGCGTGGGAGGACGCCGTTGAATACAGAGTACGAGTGGAGCGGCGGAGCGGATGTGAGTCCGGGTCGGCCAGACCCTTCCCTTCACACCGTTTAATTTCCACGCTGAATCCACCGACGCGGGGCAGAAATCGGTCGGCTTTCCCCCGCTGCTGCTGGTTTGGTTTCTGAGACGTAAACGGAGTGCTTGGGGGCGTGGCGGCGCGGCGCTTTGGTGAGCACGCCGCCGTGGCGCTTTGCAGCGTGCTTGCAGTGCAGGGCGTCTGGCCGTCTTCCGGAAGTAGCAGTCGGCGTCGGCCGGGCTTCCGGTTCGGCCAGGGCAGAGGCAACAAACGAAGCGGGCCGTCGAAATTAAAATGCAGGCCGGGCCTGGCCGACTCCTTCCTGCTCGAACCTCGAACTGCGCTCGGGGCCTTCTTCGAGTCGGGGCGATAACTTTTCACACTCGGCGCAGCGCGTCGCTTCCTCTGCGAGCCATGTGCGTCTCCGCTGCGCCCGGCCCGGCCTGGCCTGGCTGCATCTAAACACACCACGGCCTCTGGCGGGGCCTGTGGCCCCTGCAGTGGCGGGGCCGGTGGGACAGGAGGGACACACTCCAAGCGACGATTCCAAACAACCGACACACTCGAAAGGGCCAAGTCAACGGCCACCGACTGGAACTCTGGAACGGCCTGCAGTCCTATTCTGTCGCAATGTCCTGGACTCCTGGCGGCGTCCGGAGGCCCCCTTCCACTGCCGGCCGGCCGGCCGGCTAGCTGGCCGCGGGGCGCATTCCTGTGGCGGCCGAGGCTGCGGCGTGCTTTTTGGCCGGCCAGCCTCACGGCCTCTGCGTCCAAGGGCGCGATAATTTAATTACTGAGAATCGAAAGAGCCGCAGTAAAGCTGTGAGGTCGAGCCGGCCGAGCCGCCGATCGCGACTGCGCCGCCAAGTGGCCGGCCGGGCCGGGCCGCCGGCGCCACCGGCTCACCTGGTTTGGTCCGGAGTCCGGTCTGCAGCAGGCGCGGCGTAGCGCGGCGCGGCGGGTCATCTTTTTCACCAGTTTATCGCTGGGCCGGGGCTGCAGGCTGCACGCTCCACGCTGCAACGGGCCGTCGTCTCGTCAATTTACGGTAACAGGAGAGTTTCCGTATCCTAACCACGTCATGCTGTCTCTGTTGCAGGTGATGTGAAATGCGGCACGGCCCCTGCGCGGGGCCCCAGGCCTTGCCCCAGCCTGGTCCGAGGCCCAGGACGCCGAGGCCCAGGACGACGACGGCGCTTCGGCTGACATGCTGAAGCACATCTCCGCGTCCCCGCTTGGAGGACCCCTGTCCCTCGGGGGGCCGCTGTCGCTGGGCTCGCCGCTCGGGGGCGTCGTCCCCGGGGCCGCGGTGCCGGCGGGGGGCGGGCACGGCGGGCATGGCGGCCACGTCGGGCACGGCGGCCACGGTGGGCACGGCGGCCACGGCGGCCACGGCGTGCTGAGAGGCAACCCGCTGTCGGCGGCGTCACTGCCTCTGTCTCCTCGGACGCTGTCGCCCAGGACGCCCTCCCTGTCGCGCAGCCTCCACTCACACCTCAGCACAGCCAGCGGCTCGCCGGCCGGCCCCAGCCCCGCGGGCCCCAGCCCCAGCGGCGCGCACCACAGCCCCGCGCACGCCCACGCCCACGCGCTCGCCCTGCAGGGCCTGCACGCGGCGCACCACGCGCAGCGACCGGCCGGCCACGGCCACGTCGCCAATGGCGGGCTGCACATCTCCAGGATATCCACCATCACGGCGCCCTCGGGCCATGGACTCTTGCCGCCGCCGACCCCCGGCGGCCACAGCCTGGGGCACAGCCTGGGGCAGTGCATGGCGGCGGTGCGCGTCGCGGACGGGCTGGCCAAGCCCGGCGTGCAGGAGGCGCTGGGGTCGCTGGGGCTGGTGTGCGTGTCCGCGCTGTTGCTCGCGCTGCTGGCCCTGCTGGCCCTGCTGCAGCTCGCAGGACCACCGCCGCTCGACCTCACCGCCCCCGACGAGTACGTCCTGGTGCACGAGGCGGCGCTCGCTCTGTGCGCGCTGGCGCTCTCGCTCGATCTCAGCTGCCTGCTGGTGTGCGCCGTGCAGTTCCTGTTCGCCGTCAAGCTGGCGCGGTCTCCGCACGCCGCCAACAGGTGAGTCGTAGGCCCTCGGCGGCCACCCGGCGTCCCGCAACTGCTCGACTCTTCGGCCGAACTCGCGGCCATTCGCGGCCCTCGGTTCCTAGAAGACCAGCGAGACCAGCCCAGGCACGCGCTGCTCGCGGTGCTCGCGGTGGTGGTCGCGGTCCAGTATCCGGTCCGGTCGCATTTCAGCGCGCATTGTGCAGCGGCCAGCAGCGGTTGCTTGCGCGTTGCGCCGCGGGGAGGGGACGGGACGGGGACGGGACGGGGACGCTGGCGGAATCTCCAACAACGGCCTGGCCTTTCAGCAACCTGTTGAGCTGGCAGTACAGCGGCTCGGTTGGTTCCGCTCCACGCCGCCGTTTTTCGGTTCGGCCGCGTGTGGAACAAGAAGTCGGTCGCGCTGGCCGCCGCGCTCCCTGCCGGCATGGCCGCCGCGGTGCTGTGGCGCGCCGAGGAGGGAGAGAGGCCGGCGGACGCGGACGGCGGACCCGCCTGGGAGGCAAGGACCTGCAAAAGGCAAGGCGCGATCGTAAACATGATTCAAGAGCGGGAAGGGGAGGGGGAGTGTTATGTGCGATGCCGTTGACTCCACGGTGGAGGATGCGGGGAGGGGAGAAGGGAGGGGCGCCATGAGCTACCGGCCAGTACAGGCGGTACAGGCGATACAGGCTGCATGCTGGGAAACTCTGTAAACGTACGTCCGAACGGCCAGCGTGTCGGGGCCGGCCGGGCGTGGCACTGACTGCAGTACCCGCCCGAACGCCGCGCACGCCGTCGCAGGCCGACCGCACGTATACCGACGCCCCATGCACCGGGCGCATGCCCAGAGGCGCGACACAAGGGTCTTGTTTCTCTGCAAGTCTCACGTTTCGATTCAGTCTCGCACACTACATCACTACATTGCCCCGGCCCCTCCCCATCCCCTTACCACCACCCCGCGGACCACTTTTCTCCACAACCCGCGCGAAACGCGACGGTCGCTCATCATATGTTAACGAGTCTGTGAAAGACAAACACACTTACTTACACTCACCCACACACACATCGGCCAGTAGCGGCGCGCGTGACATGCAGCGCCTCCTCGTCGCGTGCGTGACGTCACGAGGCTGGCCCGTGGGTGGTTGACACGATCCGGAGCAGCAGAGCGAGCAGAGCACAGAGCAAGCAGTGCCAATGATGGACGGCCTGTCGTTGGCGGGGCGTGGCGGGGCGTGGCGGGGCGTGGCGGGGCGTGGCGGGGCGTGACGCTGGCGCGCCGGCGCGGGCCACTCTTTGTTTTCTTGGTCAGACTCGGCGGCGCTCCGCGGCCCCAGCGGGGCCTCGACGGCGTCCTGGCCGAGGTCGCCGCCACACGTGCGTCTGTGGCCCATCGCGACATCGCGGCGCCAATCATGCCGGGTGTTTATGAGCGCCGCGGAACGGAACGGCGCGGCCCTCGCGCCATTAGAACTCATTCCAATCTGAAAAAAATGGAAGAAAAAACTGCGGCGCCTCGCATGGAGGCTGCCAGCCGGCCCATCTTTGCCTCCAATCAGAACGGAGATGTATTGGCGGGAACGAGAATCTGAATGGGCAAGAGTTATGGCGCGAGGTCCCGGACCCGCACCGCGCCACCATCGCGGGGCACGGACGGCCCGTGTTGGAAGTGGCGCGAAATTGGACTGTTTGGACGCCCACTTGTCTCGGGGGCCGCCGTCGCCGTCCTTGTTGCCTTTGATTTAAATCCGGCCCACGGGGCGCAGGCCTTGGCGCAGGCCTTGGCGCAGGCCTTGGCGCAGGCCACGCCTGCCGCTTGCCGCTCGCCCTCGCCGCGAGTTGGTCGCGGCCTGCACCGAAGCGCCCTGCCGCGACGGAAAGTCGAAGCAAAGTGGATCCGGGGCCGCAATGTGTCTTTTAATTCTACCTTTCGGGCGGCCATCCAACCAAGTGGGAGTAATTGCCCTTTGGCCTCCACTGTGCGGTGCTGCTTACGACGCGACGCCGCCAGACCGCACACCGGGCGATGACGACGGCGGCGAGGCGGCGAGGCTGATCCCGAAACGGTGCTTTGTCGCGCTGTCTCCCTCGCACTCCCCGTGCTCCTACGAGACGTCTATTGAGTGCGAGAAGGACAGAGCGACGAAGCTCCGTTTCGGAATCGGCCAGCAGCGATGGGCCGAGGGAAACCGCAAGACACCGGGCAGCAAACGCCCTCCCGCCCGCCAGCCGGCCTGCAGTCTGCAGGAAGCCGTGGATCCCGACCGGTGCTCTCTATCCTCTAACCTAGTGTAACACGTCGCTCGCAGGGCCGCTCTTCCCTTTTCGCCTATGCCCAACCTGAAACCTGAAACAGAGCTGCAGGGCGCGGAGTCCTGGCCGCTGTCGTGCTGCCTTATGGGCATCCCATCCAATTTCCTCTCGGTTCCGGCCGCTGGCACGCCTCGCCAACGCGTAGCGCCTTACCGGCGCGTCTTGCCGCCTCGCGCCACGCGCCGCACGCCTGGGGCGCCTCGCTCGACAGCCACGCGCGGCACGGCGGCACGGCGGGTTGTTGGCCGGCCGCACGCGAGCCGCCGAAGCACGCGGCTACCGCGGCTACACGCGGCCCGCGAGCAGGGCGCAAACAGCCCGACATCGTTAGCCCGATCGGCGGAGCACCTGTGCGTCTGCCTAGAGATGCGCACCTGACTCCGCCCCCCGCGCCTCCCCGGCCCGCGCCGGGCCATCGCGTGCGCGCCGTGCGCCCGGCCCTTGGCCCGGCCAGCCCCGCCCCCGCGGCCCGGCGCGGCGCGGCGCGGCAGCCGAACCGGAACGGCAGGCCAGGCCAGGGCTGGCCGGGCTGGCAAGCCGGGGTGGAAGAAGCGGCTTGGTGAAGGAAAGGCCGTGTGTGTCGCCACCAGCCTTGGTGGTCCGCCAACGGCAGCCAACGGCGGCAGCCTTGGCCGTGGCCGTGTGTGGTCAGGCCGCGCTTCCAAGTCAGGCCAGTGGTCTGCATGTCGATTCCGAGCAGGCCTGCCTGTCTCTCTCTCGCACGCGTTCGGCGTTTCCTACTGGTGCGAGAGAGAGACAGGCAGGCTGCTCGAAATCAGTCTGCTGACGCTGACCCGCCATTACTCAGCACCTGGGAGTCGCGCGGCTTGCAGCCGCTTGCAGCCGCTTGCAGCGCTCCACCCGAGCGCCCGCAGTGGCGGCAGTGGCTGATGGGGACTGCAGCAACGCCAGCAACGGCGAGTCTCCAGCCACCTGGCGAGGGGCGGGCTCCTCGGACACCACCACCGGGGCGCGCGTCATCGCGGAGGTTTTCACGTTCGCGCTGCAGTTTGGGGGATGGATGGACCGGGCGCACACGCAGCTGTCACCCTGGGCTGGGGCCGATGGTGCCCCAGCTGCACCCCTTCAGACCACAGAGTCTGGGGTTTTCACCGGCCGAGCTGTCGTCGGCTCGACTTCCCTAAGGGGCATGTGTGTGACGGTCAGCGACAGCCGGGCCGCGCTCCCGTGTCAGGACACTGTCAGGCCGGGGCCATCGGCTGCTGCAGCGGCGGCATAGCGCTCGTGAGGACCGTTGCACCGCGTTGCACCGCGCACAGCCCTGCCGCAACTGGATTGCCGCCTCTCCTTTCTGCTGCGTGCTGCCAGTGCTGCTCTTGACGAGGACTGTACCAGCTTGGCCGCGCACTTCGGCGTCGCACCGTACGCCGCCGCGCTGCACCGCGCCGCAATGCACTGCCCGGGTACTCCGGTACCGGAGCGGGGCGCGCCGTGAGTGCGACTGCGACGCAAGACAGGTGCCTGTTTTTCTGAACGCCTCGGCCGAACGGCCCCGCGGCCAACCCGTCCAGCTGCTACCGTTGCCCTTCCTGGAGGCGACGGGAAGGGGGAAGCCTGGGGGAAGGGGGGCACGCGCCGCATACCGGACTCCTTTCCATCCACCTGGCACGGACTTCCGCCCCCTCCGGCCCCTCCCCTCGCGACCCCGCCCAGCGCCCAGCGCGCAGCGCGCCACCCTTCTTCCGCTCAATCAACCAGCAGAAGCAATCCAAGCGTCGCTCCCCGCCTCCAAGTTTCTTCATTCCGTAGGCGTTTTAAATCGAGGGTTCTCAACCGGATTCGTCATTCCAACCCGAGTCTGTACCGGAAGGGAAGTCCGCTGCCCGGCCCAAAAACATATTCCGCGGCGTTGTTGTTTTTGTTGTTGTTTTGCATGGCCGCGACACGCCTCGCCCCCTTGGCGGTGGGCCAGGCCTGGACCAGGCTCGCGGGACTCGCGCCGATGTACAAGGTGTGTCACACGCATACTTAATTCGCACCCGCGCGGGTGACGACCGTTTAAAGGGGGAATGAAGCATAAAAAGGAGGGCAAGATGGCCTTGTTTCAGGCCTGGCACTGTGCCTGGTGGGTGCTGGGCCTCGCTCTCGCCTCGGCTCTCGACTTGGCTCTCGCTCGCCCCCAGCAGCTGGACCCCGCACGATTCATCGCCCGGGAGCCGGGACAACGCGGACAACGCGGACAACGCGGACGTGGGGCCGAGGATGCGAGCGAGGAGACGTCACCAACGAAACCAAATGGAAAGGACCGTGCCGTGGCGAGCCGCGCACCGCGCCCGGCCCAAGGGATTCCACACTCGGCTTGGGTCCGGCCGCCCTAGGGCCGCCGGGCCCCGCTAGGCCCCGCCTCACCCACACCAAGTACCCCGTCTGGATTCTGGATGGACGCGACGCGAGGGCGTGGCGGCGGGCTCGCGGATCAGGCTGAGCGGATGACACTGCTGGCGTCCACGGCCAGCCGAGCGGCCAGCCTGGGCCGGTTGCGCCGTGACAAAGACAGCCTGAGCCAGGCGGCGGGAAGATCTCGGTCCTTCGGTGCTCTCGGCTCTCGGCTCGGACTGTCGGGCGGCAAGACAATGCTGGGGGTGGGAGGGAGAGGCCTGGGAACGGCACGTCGCGGACCCGAAACGCAACGCGCCGGAGGCTGCTTTGCTTTGACCAGCTTTGACCGACGCGGCGGACGCGGCACTGCCGCGGCACAGCCGGCCATAAGTTGTGTTTGTCTTCTGATTCGGTTGAGACCGGCGCGATTGCTGGCCGAGCTGGGGCGGGGCGGGGCGGGGTGGGGTGGGGTGGGCGGAGCGGCCCCCCTTCTGGCTGCAGCAGCAGGCGTGCATCCGATGCATTTGTTATTGAAACAAAAGTGAAAGGATGGCTTGCCTCGCCAGCCTCGCGCCGCTGTGTGGTCTGCCTGGTCTGCTTGCTTGGTCTGGAACCGCTGGGACGAGGGGCATGCGGGGCTTGCCCGCGCGGCGATCGGGTCACGGAGTCACGGCACTGTAGGGCTTTAGCCCTGGCCGGGCGTCCTAGGCGCTACTGACTGCAACTAGCATCAGGCTGCGATCGCACCTGCATTGTCCCAGGGGGAAACTTTTCGGGCCGAAAGTCATATATCGCTCTTGATGGCGTAACCTCCCAGAAAGTCAGCGGCATGCATGGCTCATGGGCAAGACCTATGGAGCACGAGCATGGCGTTTGGTGAACTGTGCCTGCATTTTCCACGCAAGGAATAAGGGAACGTGGAGCATACTTTGGTCTAGATTGAGCATTCTGCTCGCGTACACGGCTGTGTTTCTAGTGTGTCTGTGCACGCGGCTCCGCTGGCTCCGCTGGCGCGGTGTCACACCACTGTGAGTGCAGAGTGCAGCCCAGCCGCACCCCGGCCAGCCCGGCCCAAGGCCCGGCCCACGCACGTCCTCGAGCAGGCGATTTGCATTCCGTTACGCCTTGTATTATTTGTGTGAGCCTGGCAAGGGCCCGTAGCCCCGCCAGCCCCGCCAGCCCCGCCAGCCCAGCCACTCACCGGCCGTGTCTCTTTATTTTCCAAAGGCGACAGCAAACAGCATTATTCCAGCAAAGTGCTGCATGCCCGCCAGCCCGGTCTGTCCGGCCGGTCCAGCACTCCAGCAGCGCCACTCTCCTGGAACTGAAGTGACTCCAGTGGCCCTGTGTGTTTCGGCCCTGCGGCCTCCAATTCGGCGAATGCATCCTGCCGTTCCAGGAACGCAGCGTGGGGCCTGACGTGGAGAGAGGCAAAACGGGGGGGGGGGGTCAGCGTCTTACTGCAGCGCTGCAGCGCAGCCTCTGCACCGCCACCGGACTGGCCTGGCTTGGCTGGCCTACTCCTCGGGGCCTAATAAAGCTCAGCTTCGTTAATTACTTCCCGGGGTCCATTTGTCCGGCGGGACGGAGCGGGACGGAGCGGGCACACATGACACGAGAGTAGCGCCCCCCCCCCTTCCCCCTTTGCACGTCGCGCGGTGAGGCCTTCTCTCCCAGCTTCAGCTTCCCTGCCTGCCAGCACATCGGCATTCTCGCGGAGGTCGAAGGACTGCAGGCAAAGGCAGGCCAAGACAGGACTAAGGCTGTCATTGGAGGGAGACCGAGCCGAGAAGCCGAGGACTGGACCTAACCGGCTGGCGGCAGCGGCTTCGGCTATCCTGCAGCTTTACTTGGCCGCGGGACGCCTTGGCGGGGCGAGGCGGGGCGAGGCGGGGCGCGGCGGCGAAGGGCAGGGCCGGCTGGGGCTGTAAAACGCAAAACTGCAGTCTGCTGCGTCGGGTCGGCTCGGGTCGTCGGGTCCGCCACGCCGGGCGCGATGCACTCTGAATAGGAATTCACTTCGGCCCGCGAGGCCCGCGCCATCGCCGCCGCGGCCCGCTTCGCTTCGCGTGTTGCAGGCTGACTCCAGCCTGTCTCTCTCGCATCCCTACGGGACGCCCCTCGAGAGCGAGAGAGGCACGGCGACGAGGCCTCTGGTTGGAATCAGGTCCTCGACGCCGCGTCCCCTTCGAATCCCTCAGAGTCGGTGGACAACCCCCAACCTACCCCCGCAGCTCCGGCGGTAAATTTGAATTTGGCGGTGGAGTGACTGCACTTTGAAAACTTGTCGAGAGGAAACATAAACCTGGCCGTCATGCGAGGAGAGGGGCGTAACTCGACACGCTGACACGCAGACAGGGGGACTTGGGTGGGACAGACGGTCATTGGTTTCTTTCATTCCGACCGCAAGCCACCTGCCCTGTTGTACTCTCCATACTTTTTATTTTGGGGAGGTATGTAGTCTCAAGTTGCCTACCTCTCGGGCGTCTTCTTCTCATTCTGACCGCTGTCGCAGGATTTCTCGCGAGGCTGTGCGGCTGTATGTGCAGCGTGGTGACCGGCGTTACTTTTTTAATGTGTCTTGTGCTGATTGTCGGGGCGAGGCGGGGCGAGGCGGGGCGAGGCGGGGCGAGGCGGGGCGAGGCGGGCCGGCCGGGCATCCGTGACATGCCGCGCTGCGCTGCGTCCTGCCGTCCTGCCCGTCCTGCGTCCGGCCACTCATCTTGCCTCACCTAATTTCCTGTTTCAAACTGGCCGCGGCGTCCGCACGTTCTTTCGTCTCTGTCGTCTAACCAGCTCGCCTTTTTTGCTTTCTGATTCCAGGACGGACAAGTACCTCCGCAAGTCGTCCACCACGAGGGTGTGCGCCGTCGGGGGCTTCTTCGTGTCCATCCCCGTGTTCCTCACAGGTGAGTGGAGTGGGTGCGCGTTCCACCACGTGTCGGTCCACGTGTGCTGGCCGGCAGCTGGGCGGGCTCTGTCTCTCTCGCGCTCACAAGCACTCACGTACAGATGCGAGAGAGACAGAGCGGACGAAAAGCAGTGTTCAGAACCAGCCTGCAAGTGGCGGAGGCTGGCCAGCAAAACCGAGCAAAACACGCCGCTGCCGTTTTCTAAACGGGGAAGACCCACGGGGACGTGGCGCGGGACGCGCTAGACGCGCTAAAGCTGCTGCTGCTTCAAACGCCTGCTTGACGGTCGAGGAAGCACTCAAAGGCAGCCCCAATACTTGTCACGGTTTTCCGCCCCTAGCCTTTCCGAAGCCCCTGCAATGCGCGGTGCGCGCGGCCAGACTTCTTGGAGGAGGCGCGCGCACCGAGGCGCACCTAGTGGGCGCACCGAGGCGCACCTAGTGGGCGCACCGCATCGCGCGTCAGCGCGTCCGCGGCCCGCGGGGAGGGGGAAGGCAAGGGGTGGGTGCATTCCTCTGCATACCTGCGGTGCATTGCAGTGCGTGCCGGACGCGCCACCAGAAAATAAAAGTCGAGTTATATAGTGAAAGAAAAAGGCTGCGAGGTATTCGGACGAGGTCGCCGCCACTGTCCACCCGTCCACCCCCACTTCCCCCACCTGCCCAATCCCAGACGGACGGCGACACTGGCGACACTGGCACAGACATCGGCCGCCAAGACAGTACTGTACTGACTGTGCTGGGCTGTGCCGCGCTGGCGCCAGCGGTGTCGGGGTGTCGGCGATGGCCAGCGTGATGGCCAGCGAGATGGCCAGCGACCCCGCGCCACGCCGTGCGCCACACCGGCCAACAAAGGGGCTGACAGGGACAGAGTGTAAGTGGCAGAGACGGAGACAGTTCGACAGTCCGACAAGAGGAGGGGCGCGAAGGGGAAAGTGTTTACCCAGCAGCCCGTGCCGTGCCGTGCGCTCGGTGCGTTTGGGTTTGTTTTGACGCGTCACTGTGTGCGTACTGGACCGAGTGGTGTCCGTCAGACTCGGAACACGGTCGTACGGCACGGCGGCTGTCGGCCGGGTTCAGCCGGGTTGCCTAGCCCGCGAACAGCCGGCGGCCGAAGTATAAAGACTAGCACAAAATCCCCGGGCAAGAATTACAGCCTACAAAGCTAATCCACCCAGAAGTGCCGCCGACATTAATATGCAAATGTTTTTCCTCTTTTTTTTCGTCGGTGTCGTGAGTGGTGATTCCGTGGGAACCGAGGAGTCGGCCCGAGGTGACAGGCGCCAGAGGTCCCCAGGCCAAGGCTGTCCCTCCGCCTTGGTCCGTTGTGTGGAATTCCAGTGTTCCACCCTAGCGCCATTATGGGCCGACTATGGACCGCCGTGGCCAACGCCTGGCCAATGGCCGCGCGGACAATCCGGACAATGCGATCGGGGATCTGGGTAGAAGACGGTAGAAGTCGAAGACGGCCGATGGGGATTTATGGCTCCCCCTTTACAGGGAGAGTGGCGGGGCGAGAGTTTGGTCGGAGAGTCTCCACGGGCCTGGGGCCTGGGAGCACATAGGAGCACAGGGTGCGCGTGCGCTCTGGAAACTGGAAAACACGGCAGTAGCAGCCGGCATGGCAGTGCTAACAACCAAATCACCCATTATCCCCCCCCCATTTCCTCGCCCATAATTAACATTTTGTAGACCTGTTGGAGTGAAATTTCGGGGACTCTACACTAAATGATTCGAAAGGGCAAAGTAGCCAGTTTTTTTTAATGGGGAGAAAGAGGGGGGGGGGGGGTCGTACGTCCGCCTCTCTTACAGTACGCCTACGCTCTCGCCCAAAAATGACCTTTGTTTTCCTTGTTCGCAGGTATCATCTTGTACACATTCATCCAGTTCCACTCAACCCCAGCCATCGTGACGAGCGTCCTCATCGGCGTGGGAATCATCTTCTGCGGATGCGCAATGGTCCACAATGTCTTTGTTTGGCAGAAGGTAATTAACATTTCAAATCTTTGCTTTTGGTAACCGCCAATACAAGTCATGTTAATTAATTTTAATTTTTTCAAATCCTTTTTGCTTAGGAAAAGACTAACGCTGTTCGGCAGATGGGAAGGCAACAGCAGGAGCAGCACAGGCAAAATCTCCATCAGCATTCTCAACAACTGAACTCAACCCACTGGATGAATGACATTTCCAAGCACACAGGCAATGGAAGTTTGATTCCTGGAGTGCCTCCTGCAACATTAGATTTAAGTAGTGTGACAACCACGCCTCATGAACTATCAACTCTTGTATGACATTGACCAGTTCCAATTCTTGGAACCTCTGAAAAGTGAGAGCATGCACCATGGATGCACTAATAATTCCCCTGAAGCTGTTTTCTGGAAATAGCATATCCCCGTGAATATTTTAAATATTTTCTGGAGGTGTACCTTGGAGGTGATGCCATCACCATATTTGTGATACAAATCACCATATTTGTGATACAAATCGGAGCAGTCGGTTATTGCTCTTTGATGTAACTTACTCAAAAACAGAAAGTAAAAAAACATGCCATATTCTTATAGAAAATATGGTCCTAGTTTTTTAATTCTTTTTGAGAAAAGGGTTGGTGGTGAGCTCAGAGCTTAAGTACTTGTAACTGGTGTGTAAGTGAAGGGGAACAATTCTGCCACCAGAGAGCTAACTCAACACCAATATCAAAGATCTAAGTTAGTGCGATGGAGGGGACAGTTTCAGTGCTCAGAGTGCCACGTTTTGCATTTATTAAACAGTCCACTCACTTTCTGGAAAGCTTTTGAATTTTGTTTGAAAAAGTATCTTTTTGATAGAGTTAGAGAGAGGAGGAAATCTGTTTTGTGAGATCTGCTTCTTCCTCTCCTCCGCCCTTTTCCTGGGAACAATGAAGATGAATTTAAAGCCAATTTTATGAGGCTATATCAGCACAAACTTCGTTAGTAAGAAAATGTACTGGAATCTATCTAGTCTGAAATCAAACGTGATTCACCATTATTTCAGTACAAGCACACCAACAGATCTCTTATCTCTTTATGTATTGAATGCTGGATAGAACAGAAAGCCACACTGTTTTTACGAATGCAAGTCAACTTGTTGATCTTCAGCTTTGCTTCTTTTCCATGGCAAACATTCTCATTATGACATCAAAAATGATTGTAAGTGTGTCTTTGTGTTCTATCTGAGCCATTTTATTTATAGTCGAGATGGCTTTGTATCTTCGCCTCCAAACAACTGGAGCAACCCATTTTGCAATCTAATTGTTCAAGAAACAAAATTGTTTCTGTTTTTTATTGTGCCATAGGGCCTTATAAATGAATTTAGTTACAGGAAATGGAGTTTGTTGTTGTTTTGTAACTATGTATGATGTTAGGCAAGCGTAGGAATGCGTGCTGCAGTATGAAAATATTTTCACACTAAGTATGAATGTTTTCACGTTATTTGTGTTCATAGAAAACTGTTGACTATTGTATATAATTGAAAATATTATTTTGATGGATATTCCATCTGCTGTAAATACTGTGAAAATTTTTCCTTTGTAAATTGATTATTGCTTAATAAATAGAATACCCATGAACTTCCAACTGGTTTATAAAACATCTTAATAACTGGCAAAGCCAAAATTCAAATATATCAAGATTTGTTTTAATAGCCTGTACACTTTCCATAGAGACATAAGAAATTTGTATTAACTCTTATACAAAATCTGACAAAGCATAAATTAAAAACAAAACACTTCCATAAGCTTCTCTAAGTACATTTAACATGTTAACAATACTGACAGAACGCAATACAACTAAGTAACATACACAGAACAGCTCTCCATTCTTACTGAACAACAGTTGCACTGAAGACACGCAAAGTAATCTTCTGCATAACAATTTATACTGCAAAAAACAAGTGTGAAAAAATGAAAAAAGTAAAACAATTAACTTTGAACCAAAGGCTTGGATCACAGACATCAGGAACAGAGAGGAAGTGTTCAAATGTGCTATTAGCTGTGGCACAAGTGTGTCTAAACAACAAAAATGTTCAATAGGAATGACAAATTAGAGGCACGGATGCAATAATTAATTATCAAGTATACAACGTAAACCAAAGCAGAGCAAGTTCAGTTCTGAAACTTAAATGCAAAGAAAGAAAATTATGGCAAGGAACTCCACGTTTTCATTTTTGGTGACTTCTACTTCAAAACAAGGAAATGTGATTCACTTGAAACATGGAAAGGTCCCAACATACAACAGCGATGAAATTCCGAGTTTTGCCGTGACAACTAATGATACAATTTCATTACATAGGCGTTAAGGTCTATCTTAGATGAAAGGCCCGAATGCTAGATTTGATCACATATTGAATAAAAGGACGTCATCTTAATTATGTCAATAGACACCTCATGTAGAATTAAAAATGAAGTTTCTTTTTTTCACATATCCACTACAGGAATTAACAATGAGACAGACACTGTATTCATGAGAGATGCAGCAAAATTTCTTCCACATGAGTGAATTTAAATAAAACGATTGAATGATTCATGGAGGTTTCCAGGTTTGGTTAAATGATGGGGAAACATGTGTTTTAACATACAAGTACTGAAGGGAACACAGAGAGCTACCAAAGGAGAAAAGCAACAGGAATATACTTGGAATTCGATTACATGTATTTGAATATTTCAGTCATGAGTTGAAGAAGATGAGATACAGCGCACAACTCAAAAGCCCTGCATAAGGTAAAGTAATTTAAAAAAGGATTTTGATCACTTCTGGTAAGGTAAAATACATCAGCTGAGCAATATGTAGTAACAAGTACAATAATCAAAGCTGCTTTAGAAGGCGAAATTAAATGAAAGGAAGGTTATTCATGTATTATTTATGGCAGCACCTGATGTTCAGTAAAATTTTAATTAAACACTTCCACTTGGTTGTACAATGTGTGCTTTGTGAGAAATAACAATACATACAAACTAAGCCATGATTAAATTATCTCAAAATTGAGACGATTGAGCATTCAGTAAAGACAAATTATGATGTAAGAATAAATCACTATTTTAATGACTGTGCAATCATTTACCTACAGCAGCAATTTTTTTCAATGTAATCATGTGCTAACTGAATGTAATCCCGGAGTAACCAGTGAAGGAGGAAATAATAACTTACTGGACAAGAAATACTCAGTGATAATGTTTGATATACTTTTAAAAGAGTGGCGTATCTGACAAAAGCAAATCAGACACACCAGACCAGAATTGATGAAATAATTAAACGACTTCTAACTTTTCAGAAAGAAGGCACACTAGAACTCTGTTCAACAAGAATTTATTAACATTTTATCAGCCTACATCTTTTAAAAGATGTTCCCATTTTACGAAACATAAGGAGACTTGAGTGATGATACTCCTTGCATTGTAGACACAACAATGGAAGGAAAACGAACTTGTTGAAATGATTGGCAAGATTGATTGATATCTAAAATGTTTGTGTTCTTAAAAGCTACTTGAAATAAAAATCGATATTGTACTCCCATGTGCCTTAACAATCTAACATATTAAGTCACAGGTTTAAATGCCATCTTGTAGATGCTCCATCAATTATTTCTATGTACAAAATAGACATCTTTCCCTTTAAAATACAGGATTTTATAAACTATACTTTCTGGACTGCAACAAAAATAAATATTTATACTCAAGCCCCCTTAAAGCAAAGAAAACAACTTTGGTAAGAAATTCTTTTAAAGCATATCATACAGAACAATACAATTTGAATATTTACAAACAAATAAAAATTAGGCATTCCAACTTAAGGTGAAGAAGTGACTTTATACCGAAAGAAGAGGGATAATTTTTGTCATTGTCACACCAGTACAAAAGTATATAATCATTTCTTTAAAAACAATTAGTTTTGCACTTTATTCAATTTAAATGGTAACATTGAATTGGTGACATACAAATATAAGCAAAATCACAACACATTCAGATACACAACACCCCTATGCTTTTATGGGTGTGCAATCTTAATGATCAGGCGCATGTATACATACATATTTAGTCCTCACTCATCAAAATATTTAAAAAAGAGTCAATTATTTAACTTATTATGGCAACACTCATAAGAGACGTTACCTAAAATTGTGGCATATGCCACAAAAATATCACAAGACGAAAGTGGTGACAGTAATGCACGGTCTGGCTTCCCGTGCTCTCACACCACCATCACAAGTTGATGCCAGAATCTGTTAGTGCAGCACCATTGTCCTGAGGTGAAGATGCATTGCTGCTGCTGCAGTGGGCTTGTCTCGTTGATGCATTTGCTGCATGGCTTGGGGAGGCAAATGCCATGGGAAACAAGAAGTCACCATTGGGGCGAGGTAGTTTTCTCATTATTTTACCCGATGTAATAAGGCGACCAAAGCCTTCTTGATGAGCAAACGCATAACCAGATCGTATCGAGCGCCTGGTTCTTCTTGCTGATGGAGTGCGCAATACATCTTGGGATTGTCTTGATCGTAACTGAGCCAGTCGTTGTTTCAAACGGACTCTATCAGACAGTGTCGGGAATACATCAACAAAGTAGAACCTCCAAGCCAGCACAGGTATCATCAGAATTGTGACAGTTAATACTGTAGTAAACCAAAAATTTGCTTCATTCATTGCCTAGAAATAAGAGATGGAGTACAATTAATATATGAACAAGCAAAGAAAATATGTTACACAGTTGTAAACATTTTTCCTTCCATCTCTTACCTTGCTTAAAGAACCCACATAACTGCCACCAATGACATAGTTGTAAAAGTATTGCAATATGAAGTACCACAACAACGAACCCCAGACCATTACATGGTTGAAAACAGTCCAGTACGAAGTGTCCAATGCAATCTGAAACAGTGAACCAGCAACTCAGGTAAGCGTTGAGGATGGGCAGAGTATGATTGTTTTAGATGTTAAAAAGAAAAACAAACCTGAGCTGTAACAACAATCACAAGTATAGTAGCAACCACACTTCCAAACAACATATGGTCTGACAGAACTAATCCATTATAGTCAACTGCATCTTTGTAGGTTCCTGCAGGATAGAAAATAACATTTCTCTTAGATAAATACGCTTGTGGAGTGCAGAAAATAATAATGCTGATAGGAAAATTTTCTTACCAAAAGGGACTAAGAATAAAACACATGATGTAAAAAAGCCATGGATTGCACTTAAAAGAAATTCTTTTTTATTAAAAAGTAAGTTTCTATGGCCTGGTGTGTACAGTTGAGGGTATGCTAATGAGTTACGATCATTAACATCCTGATCAAACATTCCTAATGCCAGCACTGGGAGTGATGTGTAAAATAAATTGTAAACTGAAATGAACATGGGGTCAAAGACAGTCTGCAACAGAAAAAAAAAGGTGATGAGAGTAATAAAAACATTGATTAGCTAAATTCATTTTACCTTTGCTTCAAGTTAAAACATTACCTGAGCACTGAAGCCACAAAAGAAGGCAAACCAAAAATGGCACAATGTAAATGCAAAATTCTTGTAGAAAAAGTACCGCAAAAATTTGCACATGCGATAGTATGACCAGCGACCATGTACAAGCAGTAATCTTTCAAGGAATCTAAACTGGGGTATACTGTAGTCTGAGGCTAGAACTGCCTGCATTCCTTCCTGTCCACTGATACCAACACCAATATGAGCCGCTGGAAAACAAATATTAAAAAGATGTAAGAAACAATTTCTTTCGAGAAAAAAAAGAGACATTACACAACAGCCAACAATGATAAGATACCTTTTATCATTGAGACATCATTGGCTCCGTCCCCGATAGCCAATGTGACTGCTTTACGGCTCTTCTTGAGCATTTCCACGACCATTGCTTTTTGCAAAGGAGTAACTCGACAGCAAATCACAGATTTACCTAGGAAACAGAAACCAAATTACTATTGTGTTGGAAAACAAACTCTAATATGTGTAAAACAAATTACAAAAGTTACTCACATTGTGTGCAAACATCAAGGAAAAGTTTTTCCAGCTGAGGATGCAATGCATGAACTAGAGAATGTCCATTTATAATTATTGCAAAACCTGCAGGTACTTCTGGTTCTTCTGGACTTATATCTCGTTGATATTCTGATTCACTGCACCACATAAACACAAATGTTAAACTTCCAGGAAATAGAATAAAAGTGAAACTACTTTCATTCAGCTAAAATCTACTCAAGACATGAAAAAAGTAATCATTATAACAAACAAAACTACTGTATTGAACAAATTTTTAACTAAAATTAATTTTGTTTGAGATGACAAAAATTAAAAGATTCGTTTCAATTATCAATGTTATATGAAAATGTGTCGCATTTGTAAGAATAGGCGATGACCAGGGCTCGTTGCCTGAACAATAAAGGCATTAGCAGCAGCAATTCTAGCAGTAGCTTAGCAACAAGAGCAGAGTTAGCACAAGACACATAAAAAATTGAGCAAACTTCAAAATTATAAAATAAATAAATCAAAACAAACTCATGATGCAATCAAATTAGCAACACCAGTACATACATTTTTTTTTCCTTTCATTAAGTTTTAATGGGTCTGAACAGCATACAGTATCACACTCATCAGGTGTCATAAGAGAGAAAAAAAACTGCCTTGCTTTTATCCTATTCTCACTCAGTCAACAAATCCCTGGTCAACTTCAATGAACCTCATTAACCATGATGAATGATTTCGAAGACATAAAATATGTGCAATGATCCTGAGAGAACGTGATTTAAAATTAAAACTGTACGAAAAATAAACTTTACTATTTTTCAGTAGTTGGGACTTTTATTGCCTCATTCTGGGCGTGTGATTCCCACAGACTTAAAATTTAATTTTGGTGCTTTCCTTCCACCGAAACCTTAAGTGCTAGGGTGAAATGAAGCACAGAAAAACAGATGGGTGTTTCAGTGAGTGCAAAAGTGCTTTGTACCTCCCAGGTACAAATATCTCAGGACATTAAATGACAATCCATTGGATAAGTATTAGGTTTTAAAAAAGTATTGAAAACCATACACATATTGATAGATGGTCTACTTAGATAAGGGTCACTACTTGAGCAAATGCCATGGACTGTACATGAAAATGTGAATGAACACACACAAAAATAATTTCAAAAATGTGAGGTGATTGTATATAAGTAAAATAAAGAGGCTATGCTTGTTATTAACAGATTTTGTCAGTGTAATGACGAATGATTTCATGTCTGTGAATCTATGAAGTTGAATACTTCTATTGTCTAGGTCTAAAAATACAACACACAAGCAGACAGAGGGAAAGAAGGGACAGAGAGAGAAGGAGATGCATTAGCCGTCTTACTCCCAACACAAGCCCACATAAATAGTTACTGCGTTCGCTGTGGTAGAACGTTTGCTTACAGCATCCTGGCCTCCTAAGTAAAACAATACATGACACCATCAATTTTCTGATGATATTAAGTAAATTCTATCAAATTCGGAACAATATGGGTGAAAAGAATTGTCTGACCCTATCATGGCAAAATCAAGGCCAGAGGTCACTCTACCACAACACTGCAAACATCCGAACCACATTAAAAACAGCAAAATTTCTTTCCACACCACCATGTGCAAATTTTGGTTGGTGACATTCCCCAAGTACAAAATTCCTTTTACTACAGAAAGTGGTGCAATGAAGCTGAAAAATGGTACCCACCCAAGAGAATGACTGAAAAAGATAAAAAATTCCCTGTCTATTTGTAACACATACAAGGCTATCTACAAGAGACATGAAAATTATAAGAATAAAGCTTCCAAATATCCTCAATGCACCTAGCCAAGAGAAGATTATGTGTTATGGGACATAAAAACGTTTGTCTGTTCTCAGATAAAGTAAGAACAGTTAAGACTTAATTGACTAAGGGATTCAAACAAAACTATTTCGTAATAAACAAAAGAAAAATTAGTGATTGGATAAGATAAGTTTTAGGCGCAGCATATGATATTCATGAGCACTGTGGGCATGCTGCTTCAAGCTTTAAACACATAAGGCACACAAATACCCACTTCAAACAATAAATAAAACTTAGCTGCTTTCAATCAGCATCACTATTTTCCAGCCATCCTTCACCAAATGAGCTAATGATTAGCATATAATTTATACAACACATAGACCTCTGAGGCATAAGCAAGCTTTGTTTCAGTACCTGTCGATATTTTGGGACAACTTTGGCAGTTCACGCTCAGTTGAATAGCGTTCACAAAAATGTAAACCATTTAAAAAGTTGTACATTTTTTCTCAAATAGTTTCTTAATTGAGATTCATTCGAAAGGTTCAATTACTATGGAAGAAGTGCAACATGCTCAAATGGGAGACATGCACAATAAATAATCATTCTTAAAAAAAAGTTTTTTAAAAATTGTTATTATGGGAGCAAATTTGCAAACAATACAGGGAAGAGCTTCAACTATACTCAGTTAAAGCCTCAAGCCAAACAGAGATGCATTCAATGATGGTTCTTTACATTTAATATCGTTAAAGTCTCAGCGCAGCTAATACAGCCATGAGATTCAACCCATCTACCAAAAACTTACAGAGAGAAAGCTTGCGCAATTACATTCATTTAATTTTCTTCAAATTCCTATGCCGCCCTTACAAAATATTCCCACATTTTCCCTGTTTTGTCAAACTTAAGTTAATTAGCATTCAGAGCACCACTCAAGCTATACTGTCACCTAAAGCAAATCTACTCGAGCTGAGCCGAGCCGAGCAGAGCCGGGGTGGTGGCGTACTACCATAGAACTTATTGAGGAAACTCCTTCTGCCTCTGTCACTTCGTTGGCCCACTCTACCTGTTTCGGTCCCACCTGAAAGTCACAATGCTGACAGCCGTGTTGGTGGTTCCTGTTACATTATTCCTCGCATGGTCTGATGATGGTTGTGATCTATATGCAACTTCAGTCGGAGGGTTGTAAGAATCAGTCGTTTCCACAACCCTATGGTTATTACATTGTGGGCTAGTGGAGCTATTGCTATGCGAGTTTCCCATTTGGTTGCGCAAAGCGTCTTTATAAGCTGTGAGTTGCTCTTCAACATCATCATATGAATGACCATCAACAATAAAAATGTCAGCCATTTCATCAGTCAACAGCTGACATGAGTATCCAATATTAATAGCAGTTTCTGTAATTAAAAAATAAGACAAAGTTTTAAATATGTAAGGTTGGCCTTTTGATATATTCATAAAGGAGTTTATAGGTACCTTGCTTGTCGCCCGTTAACACCCATATTTTTATTCCAGCCATTCCAAGATTTGAAATAGTCTGAGGAACTCCATCTTGAAGTTTGTCTTCTATAGCAGTCACACCTGTTAATATTTAAAAAATTCAAATTAAAGATACGGATTTCAATGAGTTTAGTTCTGTTGCCGAAGAATCTTACCAACTAAAGTCATGTCTCTTTCGATTTCCTCATAAATTGAATCAAGTTTTTCATCCCTATTCTCCATTGAAAGAGCTGCTTCTTGATGGCGCTGTTTCCAATTGGCAAAAAAGACTTCATCGAGGTCTCTAATTGCAAGACATAATGTGCGTAATCCTTCCCCAGCAAATTTCTGTATGAAAAATACATTGTTATAATTTATTTTCTTGAAGTAAGAGTTTTAAAAGCATTGTGGGTGCAATGTTATAGAACTCACATTTAAATGTTCTTGAGTTTTTGATTTTATTCCATCCATCCCAGGCTGTAGTCTCTCATAAATCACATTATCAGCACCTTTGCAATACAACCTTAGACGGCCGTCTTTCCGTAGGATCACAGACATACGCTTCCTCACATTATTAAAATCAAGAATACACAGCAATTCATAAACTTCTCTACTTCCCATAACCTGTAAAGACAATATTACAAGTTACAATAGTGCTTTGCTTTTAAGGAAGAACAACATAAGTTTTGGGATACAAACATCAACAGTTATGCTGTTTGGAGAGCGCTCTTTGAACACAAATCCAAAATTTCGTGCAGCTGAAACTAGAGCTGCCTCATCTGGGGATTGAGCTTGATATTCAAGGTTACCTGATAAAGGACGAATGAAAAGTTGTGAATTTATTTCCTAGATTGAAAGTAAGCAACCTGGTAAATTGTTAAATGTTATTAGCTTACCACTACGGTCCTCAGCCATCACAGTATGACATAATGCTAGTAGACTAAAGAAGGCATGTACATCTTGGTCGTTATTTCTTACAGCTTGTACTAGAGAGCCGTCATAAAATTTGAACTCTGGTTCATAATCTGGATTGAATGAAAAATCTAGGGGCGCAGAGCTCTACAAAACAGGCCAAAAATTGTAAGTGAGCGAATAAATTAACAAATAGAACAAAGAAACATTAGAGTACCTTGCTAACTTCAGAGACCTCCAATACTTCACCAGTCTTTTCATCTATAACATCTCCATAACAAATTCCTCCAATGGAACATTTGTTAAATGTCATTATATTCTTAACATGGAAATAAAAACAGTGTCAACAAACAATTTTAAAACTGTAACAAGTGAAAATAAACCACACACCCAATTTAAAATACCTGAGTGAGAGTTCCTGTTTTATCTGAAAATATGTATTCTATCTGTCCAAGCTCTTCATTTAATGTTGTTGTTCTTGCTTTAGCGCCAGTTCCAGAGTTTTCATCATACATCTTTTCATCCCAATTTATTAAAAAACTCTGCACAAATCTTATGACCTCAACACTGAAAAAAATAAATAAAAGATCAGTGCACAATTTTTAAAAGCCATTCAACTGTATGTGTCAATGACAGCTCATTGCAAGATAAAAGTTTAAAAGAGAAACAGTACCTGACATATAATGATATAGGGACGACTGTGTTAAGAACAATAGCATAAGAAAAAAAGACAAGGAGGGCAATCACTGTGGCACCACTGATTTTCTCACTTGGGACCAAGGTATCCCATGGAAGGTAGATCTGGAAGAACTGGCCAGTGATAGTTTCCCAGATTCCACACGCAATCATACAGAACAGACATACCGATAGGAGAAAGAAAACTATCTGCAACACAAATGGTAAAAATGTGATAGAGAGATATTTTTTTACGAAAATTAAACTTTTCAAAGGGTACTAAAAGAAACACTATGACTTACTCCTATAATGATAAAGTTTAGTAATCTATCAATGCTGGTGCGCTTAAACTTGGTCTTCCCAGAGTTTTGCATTAGTTTGGTATCTTTGCCAGCAAAGATAACAACACCATAGCACCACTGAGTGTTACGCAGCACACAGCCCCTAAGAACCACTTTATCATTGTCAAGGGGATACCTGAAAGTTTTAAATGAAAATCAGACAGATGAAAGGGAGCAGTTTTGAAATAGATGTGTGGAAATTAAATATTTCCTACCTTTTTCCTCTCCAAACTAAAGTGCCATCAAATTTATTAAGTAGATTGTTTGGTGTTTCACAAACTATTTCACCATTGAAAGCTCCTATAAGACCATCATTCTGACCCATTTCTGCAGTTTCAACAAGGCACTGACGGCACTTCAAATTGGTCTCCCTAAAACAATAGATAAATTATAATGAAAAATAGTCAAATTTGTGACACTAATCAAGATGTGTAATGCCTCCATCCAAGCACTTACCCATCAAGTTCCGCAGTCTCAATGTAACAAAGACCATTGGGCTCACTAGTAGAAAGAAGGAGAACATCTGCAGCAACAAACTGGTCATTTTCCATTCGGATGATGTCCCCTACTTGGACTTGAGCCCATCGCTCTTCTACTAATTTTCCATTCCGTACAACTTTTGACCTGCGTTGGTTGACTTGCCGATCACTAGAATGTCTTTGCTGTTGGTGGAATTAAAATGAAAACACAAAATTGGTATTTATGCAAGGCTGGGTAAACACAGCAAATTAAAATACAACTAACATGGAACTCACATAGTCATCATAGGCATCCTTAATGGCAGTAAGGGCGAGCACACCAATAAGTGGTATACCTGTGGTGATAGGGGTGAGGGAGGATATGACAGGGATCATTTGCAGGACTAGCAAGCAAAGAAAATAGAAATTTGCAAGCCGCTGGAATTGCTCAAAGAGATTAAGGGGAAGGAATGTCAGAACTGTGTACTTTGATGTCTTAATGTAGTTGTTCTGGAAATGAAGAGACAAGACACAAAAATGTAAAATAAGTCAAAATAAAGAAACTGATTGACATTTTCTTGAGATAGAATACTCACTGCATAGTTGAATTGTGTATTATATTCCCCATCATTGGCTCTGATTCTCCGTTCTGTTTCTGAAAACAAAAGGGAAAAGACAGGAGTTAAAGCACTATTCTATGACGTCCTGCATGTCACTTTCGTGTGCTGCCTTGGCTGCACTTTCCTCGGCCGAGTTACCAGTAACACTAAGATACACATTTACAAAACTCTGTTACGGTTGTGACAACAGTCTTTAGAGATACAGCCAATCAACTACAGAATTCCGTGCAGCAAGTCCTAGTCTACTTGAGCTAAACATGCCAAGAATAGCAACAGTTGTTTTAGGGACGCGCATGAGGATTGCCCAGAGGCTCGGAGCCCATACGAAGTGAAGGGAGGTGGAATGGGGACGTCATCTGATGAAGCCCCACACATTATTCGAATCTCGAACCTCCCCTCCCCTCCCCTCCCCCATCCGGGTCGCAAAGTCATTCCGCCCCACTCTGCTTCAACAGTCCAGCGTTACTGCGCCGCGCTGCTCAGGAAGGGAAGTCCATCATCCAACCATCCTGGCGCTGGCGGCCGACAAGGCGGCCGACAAGGCGGCCGACAAGGCGGCCGACAAGGCGGCCCACAAGGCGGCCCACAAGCACACACGCATTCAATCTACGCCACTAGGCTCGCCAGCAGGCTCGCCAGCAGGCTCGCCACCAGGCCACCGAGGCACGGCGGTCGGAGGGGCAAACGGAGGGACAGACGGCACCCCGACAACGGGCAACCATGGCACGCATCTAGGGTCTAGGAACGAGCACTACAAAGGTACGAAAAGAAAATACGTGAAAGACTGAGAGACGGTGCGAGAGAGTAGGAAACAGGATTGCCAGGCCGGCGCAGAGTGGGAAGGAGAGGAGTGGAGTGGTCGTACAGAGAGGGGCGGCAAAAGGAAAGGGTTGAATAATTCATGCTGCTGCAGAAGCCCTTACGGAGGCCACAAACTAGTGGAGCTCGCAGAGCTCCGACAACGTATACAATTTCTCAAATCATTAAAACAGAAAGCTACGTCTGAGCAAGTCAGCCCCTCAGGTGGCAGGGTCTGACGCGTCGCTCCGGGTCCTACACTTTGTACTGGGCTACAGCAAACGCAACGCAACGTGGCTGCGGTGAGCCTGCGGCGGGAGGCCGAGGCCGAGGCCCGGCGTGCTCGGCGGGGAGGCTAGGCTCACCAATGGGGATGAATCCGCGGAGGTAATCGGGCGGCGCGTACCCCGGCGTGACGCCGAGCGTCTGGCGGTACTGGGTGGCGCCGCCGTGCCGCCACACCACCAGCTTGCCCAGCACGGTGAGCAGCGACTCGCGCAGCCCGTGCGGCCGCCGCGGCGCCTGGCCATGCACGTGCAGGCCGTGGCGGAGGTGCGCGTGCGGAGACTGGTCCAGGGCGGCCGACGCGGCGGGGCACAGCGGCACAGACTTGCGCCGTCGCCGCCTCTTGCGCTTGCGGTGGAACCCCGCGCGGCCCTCGTCCTCGTCATCGTCGTCCTCGTCATCATCCTCCTCATCCTCGTCATCGTCGTCCTGCTGGAAGTGCTGGCCTCCGCTGCCCGAGGCGCGCTCTACGCCGTGATGGTGGTGGTGGTGGTGGCGTTGATGGCGGCGAAACTGCAGATCGTCCAGCTCCACGCCGTCTGCGTCTTCCTCGTCCATGGCCTCCATGACGCACAGCGGGGCCGCCATGTTGGCCGAGTCATAGCGGGGCTTAGAGCTAGCCCCGCGGGAGATCACCTGCCCATGTCGCCGTCAGTGGCTGTCGCCTCCGTGCACTCCCTGTGCACACAACTATCGCCAACGGTGAGCGCGGTGCGGTGCGGCGCGGTGCGGCACGGCGTGCGCGTCGTCAAAGTGACCGTCGCGGCGGCGCGGCCAGGACGGCGTGGTGCGGCGCGGTGCGGCGGGTCCACCCACTTCCTCAATGGACTCAGACAGGCGGCCTGGCGGTCCGGCCTCCCCTCGCGCCCATTTACTGAATTACTCCCAGCAGCCTAGCCAGCCTTGCCAGCCTTGCCAGCCTTGCCTCGACGCGCCGCGTCTGTTCTGTCTGGTCGGGTCCAGCCTCGTCCAGCGGCCTGAGCCAGCCGGGCCAGCCGCCGCACTGGTCTATTGTAACGATGGGTCCGGGACTTATTTGCCAGAACACTAGAGGGATCCGGCCGAGACTATCTACGGGACAGTGCAGAACCCGGCACAGGCTCGGCTCTCTGCCCTCTGCCCCAAATTAATGCCAAGAGTCGAAAGCATCCGCAGGCAAAGGCCCAAAACCATGTGCAGCCCGCGGGGCTCGCGCTCTGGGCGTTCGGCGGAACGAAGGCAGGCCCGGCAGGGTCGCGGCACGCTCATGGGGATGGGGTGGAGAGCTCGGGCACCCTGTGAGAAGGGGACGGGGAGAGAGGCTTCCGCGTCGTGAAGAGTCGGAGCGAAGACATGAAGGGCTACCACTTTGGCGTGGGCGACATGAAGCAAGCGAAGCGGCCATGCCTTTCAGGTTCCGGGGAGTCTCCACTAGGGCAGACCGGTTGCGTCCGGGGCCTTGACGCCGGGTCGGTGGGGGGCTGGGGGCCCCGCCGGCTGGACCGCACGTCCCTGCTCCGGGGAGGTGGCCACCAGGCTGGGCGGGGCGGAGTGCAGTTGGGGGGCCCCCCTGCAAAATGCCAGCAGGGTTGACGGGGAAGGGACTGTGCTTTCGAGGCCGCGAAAAAAGGGTCGAAGAGCGACATGACATGAATTTGGGCGTCACCACTTGAGGCGTGCCACGACGCGACATCGACCCGCAGCAAGCGAAGCAGGCCATGCCTTGCAGGTTCCTGGGAGTGTCCACTGGAGGGGCAGCACCGGGCCTTGACGCCCGGGGCCTGGGGCGGCCTGGGGCGGCCTGGGGCGGCCTGGGGCGGCCTGGGGGCCACGCGCTGGCTGGTACCGACACGTACCAATGCTCCGGGCGGGCTAGGCTGGGCCACCAGGCTGGGCGGGGCGGCTAGTGCTAGCCTTGGGGACGGCCAGCCGTGGGGCTAGCCAACCGATAACCTCCAGGGCCAGCCCGTCGCCCATTTTGACGAGGACACGAATTGGGTCACTGTGCTTTTCGAGGCCGCGAAAAAAGATGGGCTGGGCAGCCAGGCATGGCGGCTGCTAGGCTGCAGCAGAAGCACCTGGTCACGCTCGTCACGGCTCGGCGCGGCCCCCGATGGCCTGGCTCGGCTGGGCTCGGCGGCTCGCCCCCGCTCAGCTCGAAGCAGCGCGCGGAGCAGCGCGCGGAGCGGAGCAGAGTTCGCGCACACTCACACACAATCAATACTTTTGTACCGGGGGAAGGGGCGGGAGGGCTGGGGTGGGGGAGGCACGGCGCCCAGCCGGGTAGCCATGGCACCACGGCGCGGGCGGTACCCAAGCACCTCCCCGTCAACAAGGACCCTAACTAGTAAATTTCCGCCTCCAGCGCCACGCGGCGCACCTCGTCCGCGCCTCTCCAGGACGCGGGCAGGCCGCAGGCCACGACGTCCATCCTAACTGGGTCAATATCAGTGACTGCACGCACCGCGCCACCCACACTGTCCGAGCACCGCCACGGCCTCGGCCACGACGCACGCCGCGCCGCTGCCAAAGGTGCACGCCGCAGCCCGAGGCACACCTGACACTTTGACACCGCGCTGTGCCCTGGCTGTGCCGCGCAGCAGCACAGCTGGGCGTCCCGACGTACCGTGTCGCGCCGTACGTGCGCGCCGTGCCGCGTCGCGGTTAGGTCCGACTGAGCGCCTCAGTGACCCCTGAGCCCCAGTGCTCCCGTCCTCACACTGTCGTCTGCTGCTGCGCCCTCGCCGCGGCGCCCGCCTGCGCCCGCCGCCCAACCCCTTGCCGCGACGCGCCACACCGCGCCCTGGCGAGCCGCGCCACTCGATCCAGCAGCCACCGGGTTCGGGTGTCTGACGCCAGGCGGCGCCACGGGCCGAGCGTCGCGACGCCAAGCGCAGCGCGGTGCCGAGCGCAGCGGCACAGCACGGCACAGCCGGGTGGCGCCCAGCCCGTCCGGCCAGACTCCGCGCCCAGGGCGCCGCGGCGTAGCCGGGCGTAGCGCTGCCGGCCGAGTGGCCGAGGCGCCGGCATCATGTTCGGTGCCTGCACTGTGGGCCCATTCCGGACTGCGTCTCTCTCTCGCACCTCGCACTCATGGGGTGGCAGGGGTGCGAGAGAGTTCGGAACGGCCCCGCTGGAGCTGGAACTCGTCGTCCGGCCGCCTCTCTGTAGCTTCGCCCCGAGGTCACGAGGTCGCGGGGGTGGCGCCTTAATCAATTGCCCGATACCTAATTAGGGGGTACAGCATCGACACACAACGCACGGAGCAAAGGGACAAGGCGTCCAAGCTCGAAACGAAACGACTAAGTCGCAATGGCAAGTCTGGGGTGAAAATGAAAGGAGCAAAGGAAAGTCTAAAACGAAAACAAAAACAAAGTAGCGAAGGTAAGTCCAAGACGAAAACAGAGCAGCAAAGGGAAGTACAAAACGAAAACAAAGCAGCAGAGGGAAGTCCAAAATAAAAACAAAGTAGCAAAGGAAAGTCCAGAAAAAAGGCAAGTCTAAAAAGGGACGACACCCAAAAGTCACCGAAAAGGCAACCACGCCCCGAGGCAACAACAGCCTGTGTTTGACGGACGCCCTTTCAATCGAGGGTGCCCTCCCCCACCCCCTTTCCCCTGGGGCAGTGACAGCCAAGACAAATGAATACAGTTGTGATTGCACCAATGGCCTGGTGCGGCACGGCGGCGCGGTGGCGCGGCCAATGAAGAATGGATCACAAGTCCATTCCTCAAAATTCGGTTGGGGCGCCGCGACTCGTTATTACGGAAATGGAACATGGAACCGCGGCGGACGGGGGCGCTCTCTCTCGCCGTCTCTCTCGCACACTTGCGGAACGCACCGTGAGTGCGAGAGAGACGGGGAGACGAAAGCATACTGCCCGGAAGCAGCCTGCTGGAGGGTGGCGCGCCATGGCGCCCCGCAGCCGGAAGGTGGTTAACATGACTAGACACGGCCACCGTCGGGGTGCGGTCTCTCTCTCCCCCCCCCCCTCTCTGCCCCAGCCTCGCGCGTGCCTCCACGGTGCAAGCCGCACTGTTTTCCCGCCGAGTTGCGCGCGTTTCCGCCCCACGGCGACGTGACGACGGCCGCGACCATTTCCACGAACGACAGAGACGGAGAAGAGGGAATGAGGCGGGCGGCGCAGCGAGAGCGAGGAGGACGGAGAATACAAACAAGGGGCGGCGCTGGAGAGCCCAAAGCAGACAAGCCGGGGGGAGAGCGGGGAGAGCGGGACAATGTTGCAAGACCGTCATAAAACACACAGCGGGGTGGCCCGAAGGCCCGAACGGGCCAAACCGACTGGGGTTCAAAGGACCTAGAAGGCCTGGCCCCGCCGGACATCTTCACTACGGGGCTATGTACAGTGCACTGTGTACATTGCGCGCGACGAACTGTACAGCGCAGCGACCTCGCGACGCAGCCAAAGCTCGGCCGGTGTGGGGACGAGAAAGCAAAGGCGGGAAGGGAAATCAATAAGTATGAGGAAATCGCGGCGTCACATACAGAATGCAGGCCCATGAGAGCTTCCCGGGTGCAAGAGCACACCCATTATCCGGCGGACGGTTGACCACAATGATAGCAGTTGACCGCTAGCGTGCAGCCCCGCCGAACAGAGCTGAGAATGGATGAGGAAGGGCAAAAGCGCGAGCAAAAGAGAGGAACCGAGAGGAAACAATTTACAATATTTTGAAGAAGCTGAAATCATTTACTGTGATGGCAGAGATGACAAGGAAAAGGGGGACGGACCCGCAAGACAGGCGTGCGCTCGGGTTGCCTACCCCGCACGGCGCTCTGGGGACTGGCGCTGCGAGCTGCAAAGCAATTCTGCAGCCTGCAGCAGTGGACTGCACCCAGCAGGCACACTGTTCACTCACCTCTGGGGCCCACGAGGCTGGGCATGCGGCTGCGCGTGGGCTTGACGGCCTCCACGACTTGCTTGCCCTGCTTGCCCTGCTTGCCCTGCTTGCCCATGGCGGCGGCGGGCCCGGCGGGCGCACAGGCTGGCCGGCGCAAGGGACGGGGCGGCCGGGGGCGGCGCGCTGGGTGGGGGCGGGGGCTGTCCTAAGGGGGCGGGCCATGTGTCGGCCAGCGCACCGCCTCACTCCACCTGCAACACAACACAAACAAGGTGAGACACGGGGCGGGCCACAGTGTACACTAGACGCCAGAGGTGTGGCGGCGGCGCGGCGGCCTTCGCGAGGGCGGTCGGCCCGGCCGGTCGCGAACTGCGTGTCCAGAGTGATGACAGTCCGAAGCCGGCTCCCTCGCGAGTGTGGTCGTCGTCGCCATCGTCGTTGACACAAGGGAAGCGTGGCCGCCGCCACTGTATTATGAATCGCCTCGTGTTGCTTCGAGGTCGTTCTGGGGGCGGCAGGGGGAGGCGGGGCGGCTGGGGGCCGTACAAAGGATTCGCCGCCCCGGCGTCCGGCCGAACGATGCCATTCCGAAGAGTCGCTTCGTCGCTCTGTCTCTGTCGCACCCCGATAGGATGGCCCGCTAGTGTGACTGAGACAGAGTGGCTCGTTGGGGCGGCCGCGTCGGCCGCGTCGGCCGCGCCGTCAATCATTGACACGCTTACTACTTCTTTGCCGCGGCGATGGCATGATGGCGCATGATGGCCCCACCACACGCGAACCACCTGCTCCGCGGCGCTCCGCGGGCCTTAACGTGTCATCAGGGCCGAGGGGCGGGCCGAGGGGCGGGCCGAGGGGCAGGCCGGGGGCGGGCCGGGGGCGGCCGTCAACGCGGAGACGGGGGAGACGGGAACGCACACAAACAACGAGGGCAAGGGCCCGGCCTGCGGCCCGGCCGCCAAGGGCCCCGCAGCGAATTCCCCGAATTCCTGTCCGAGGAGTCACTACCCCCGACTCGGCCAGCTCGGCCAGGGCGCCACGCTCATTGCGCAATATAGACAACGCGGTGAATGGAATAAGTTGGCGAGGGGCGGGGGCGGCAGGGCCCGGCGTCAGGGCCCCGCGGGGCGGGCGCAACAGGTCTAGCCTGCCCCTGCCCCACCCTGGACCGCCTCCATCCCTGACAGCGCCTCACCGCGCCTCGCCGCGCCTGGCAGTGGCAGTGAGAAGGGACGCTGCGGCAGCCCCAGCCCCGCCACGCCCCCCGTCATCAGCCAGCACACATACAGTGTACGGCGGCGGGGGTGCGGGGGTGGGGCGACGGGTACCTTGGCCGCGACCACCGCGGCGTAATGTCACTCAAAAGGGGGCGGGGGTAGCGAGACTTGGCCGGCCGCCGCGCGAGTCTCAACGCTCAAAGTGACACCGCCAAGGCCCGGCGCGCGGCGTGCACCGCACACGCGGCCAGCCGTCGCGAGGCACGCGGCAGGCTGTCCGCGGCCTGCGATTGATCTGCTGCTCTGGGATCATCATTCGGGTTGGCCGTGGGAGCTGGCGGCTCGGCGTCGAAGCGCAGTGCGGCGGAAAGGACCCCGTCACGGCAACAAAGCTCGCTACCAGGACGCCGCGTTTTCGTTTTTCCCAGTGAGCGCGACTAAGTGAAGTGGCGTCGTCGCGACGTCGGCGGCGAGGAGGGTCCCCAGGCCCGCGACGTCGCCAGCGCGGCCCGTGGCGCGGCCCGTGGCGCGGCCCGTCCTCCGGACAGAGGTTCCCACGAGACCGCGCATCCGACGGCTGCACCCTCCCAGTCTCTTGTCTGCGCTCGCTCTCTCGCTCGCTCTGCCGAGCGATTCCGAAAAGTTGCGTCATGGTTCCGTTTCTGTCGCACCCCCGCGGGACAACGTCACGTGAGTGCGACAGAAACAGCACCGCTCTTCGGAATCAGCCAGCTAGATGGGGCCTGGATGGGGCGCGTGTAACCCCACCCCGACCCCAGAGCGCCGTTCCTTTACAAACGCTACGAAAGGCAAAGCGAGCATCCAGCCAGGGGAAAGTCGGAAAGCAGCCACTCGGCGCAGTTCAAACAGCGCGCCGACGACTGCGGCTCGCTGTGGTCGAAGTAACCGCCATCAGACCAAATCGGAGTACCCAACACCCAACACCTTGGCCATCACTTTGGCCAACATCGGGCCGGCTGCGTTTGCTTACAAGCGTGCTTACAGTGGGCTTACAGGCGTGCCGCGAGCCACTTGCGGGGCGGGCGATGCACACACAAGCACACCGCCCACGCGCCGCGCCGTTAAACGCCTCAACGGTTTGCAAACAGGAACGCAGCCCGAACGACCCAGAGCGACCCCTCCAAAGTCTGCGACACTTTCGAGGCGGACAAACAACGACAACAAACTCTCGGCGCAAAAATCAATTTACAGCGCGCGCCGCGCCACGGGCTGCTGCTGCTGCTGACCACGCCGCCGCGGATCAGAGGCACTCTTTTAGTTCCTTTTTCGTCCGCCACCGCCACTCTCCGCTGCTATCGCTGTTGGCGCATGGCGAGATCGCAGCTTTGCGGCTCGGCTGCCCAGCCACCTTGGCGCGTCCTACGCGGCACGGCGGCGCGTGCGGCCGGGAATAGCCCGAATGGCCGGGATGGCACGGCCGGGCACGGCGCGCGGAAACAGAGAAACAGATGGTGCGATGGCAGGAAGCGCGCTTATCTCCGTGCGGCCGGCCGCTATCGGTGTAGGGCCCGGCCTCGCCCGGCACGGCGGCACGGCCCAGGGCTCCGGGCTCTAGGCGTATCTGGGCGTATCGCGCGGCCCGCCCTACCCGCGTGGATTAGCGCGACACTTGCCGACACCTGGCACATCAAAGGCACCGCCGAGGAGGGGCGGCTTTCGCGCGTCGCGTTTCGGGCACGCGGGCGAGGACCGCACTCCGCGCTCCAGAAAGTCCTCCTCTCTCTCTCTCTCTCTCTCTCTCTCGCTCTCTATCTCTCTACCGCGAACACCCTGTCACATCAGTCATACACCCCGGGGTGCGCGACGGAGCGACAGAGCAGAGCCGCGGGGAGGCCGGCTCCTCCTCCTATCTCTGTCTCTTTCTCTCTCTGTGGCGCTCGCCGCGTCGCCGACAGGGGGCGCCTGCGAGGTAGGCAACCACGCCAGGTTGGGACGCACCGACGTCGCGGGGTTGCCTATCCCCGGGTCCGCAGGCGGCCGCCCCAGTCCATCGCGTGCGTCGATATTTCGGCGGGCACTTGTGTCGAGACAGAGTGCCCCCTGGAGGGAGATTTGAGGGGGGGGGGTAGTAGTGGCAGGCCGATGACACATGACACGCGGCGTGACCCACGACGGGAGGTGGGGCCCCGCCTACCCGCAGAGTGATTACGAGCACTGCTTTCGTCGGCCTTATGTCTCTCTCGCACCTAACGGAGCGCCTCATGAGGGCGAGAATGAGAGAGAGAGAGACCTCCCGCTCGGAGTCAGCCTGATGTCCGACGCAGGTCACCGACGAGGCGAGGGAGGAGGCGGTCGCGGTCGGCCCCACGGACCCACACACGGCTGGCACACGTAACGTGCGCGAGGCCCGCTGAATGACACCAAAGTCCCCGCCGCGGCGCCGCGCCCAGCCCCGTGAACTTTATGCATTAGCCATGGTGCGATTGATAACAACAGGGAGCGCCACACAACGAAACCGTCGACGGGCCGAGGCAGGCCAGGCCAAGGCAAGCCCTCAGGACGACGCTCTCCACGGCGTCCGGCCACGTCATGCAGAGTTCACGTGAAACGGACGCACACGGGGTGACACAAGCCACTCAGGACAGCGTTCGCCATATCCGGCCATATCGATGGCCGCTGGGTTGGACACAAGGGCGCAAGTCAGACAGGAGCCCGTAGGGGATACGCCGTTGTGCCCGCCGGCCGCGGCCTAGTGATACGTGAAAAAGATAACACACATGATCCCGACTTAATGAAAACTCGGCCGAAGACCGGGCTAGGCTAGACAGCAGGCAAACGCAGGGTAGCTATAACAAAATCGGCTCAAAAACGCAATTTTCAGACATGAGACATCTCGCTACCGCTCTGCGAATGAGGGAAAGCCAAAAGCCACCGCGACGACGGCTCAGCCGGCCGGGTTGCCGCGTTGGAGTCCTGGATGTCCTAGATCCGCTGTGTTGGTTGTGGACATTGTTGCGCGTCCGGCGCCACTGGGCGCCACCAACACGCGGCGCGGCGGCCGGGGCGGGACCTAATTGCCAATTAGTCCGAGGCTGACTCGGTGCGAGGCGCGGTGCGACCGGCCGAAGCTAGCCGAAGCGCGGCGGCCGGGGAAGACGCCGACACGCCGACCGAAACACAGGATGCAAACCGCTCCCGACTCTCCGGCGCGCCTTTTAGAGGAACCAAACGGCGGCGTGGCGTGGCGTGGCGACCCTTTTTCAGTCACCGCCCCGCCCCGCCCCGCGCTTCCAGGAACAAACGCAGGAGTGGCCTCTTCTTCCCCGCGGGCCGCTCCGCTCGGCTCCGATCCGCTCGCCCGGGCCGCCGCCTTCACCTTGGGCCTTGATCACTGGAGCTCGTCGGCGAGGGATCGGCCAAGGACGATCAGAGGACACCACTGCGACGGACGGCACGGGGACGGCACGGGGACGCCGCCACGAGCGTTCGACGAGACGACGCTCCTCTGCACCAAGGCCACGGCCTGGCCCGGCCAGCACCCGGTGCAGCGTCAGCCAGCAGCACCCACGCACGCCGCGCGCAGAGAGATGCACCCGCCGCCCGCCGGGCTTGGTGCGTGGGCTGGTCAGCGACAACAGGCCCACCTGCAGCCGCGGCGTCGACGCGGTCGCCAGCTGCACCAGCGCGACGGTGTCACAGAGCTATCTGGTGGCGGCATCACGTCGCTACCCCGCGCGCCGAACAAGATTTCGCAGGAAATGGGTCCGCTTTCGCCACGACACAATAATGTGTGTCTGCGCGTGTTAGTGTGTAGTCTGGGCCGCTTGGCCCCAAAATAAAACCGTAAAGACCGCTGCGTTGGGCCATCGGACGGCTCATCTCGGAGGGGCCAAACTGTTTTGAAAAACTCGCGTTCAAACAGCGCGCGGCTCCGCCGCCTGCCTGGTCCTGCAGGCCAGTCTAGGCGCTCTGTCTCTCTCGC